CCATTTATGTTGATATTCTGTGATTAAAGACACTGAAGAAAGTTATTCTCACACACCAAAATAAAGGTATTTTATTCTACCAACCTTGAATTGCACACTAAACCAAAATATTGATTTCACGTTGCATCTTATTTTGTTTTGTGTAGCCAAGAGGGTTTAGTAAACACACTAACCACCTCCTTGAGGAAGAGAATTTACGTATACATTTAGTGTTTGACTGGATGAAAACATTCTTCAAGGAAACAACTGTCTAGACATGATGACAATAAACCCTCTATTACTGGGATGGCGGGAAAAGATGTTGCTCCCAGTAAGCAGGACTTCCCAAAAAAGTCATGAACTGTTTGCCTGGCTGTCATGTGCTTAAGTAATTATTTCAAATATTCATTCTTCATAAGAAGTCTGCAGTATAATTTCCTGATGCAGAACACATTGATGGTTTATGGTTCCTTATGTTTTTTGCCATGAACAAAGCTTCGTTCTGTTGGGAGAGCTGAAAGGTGCGTTACACCCATCAACGCCCATCAGTGGGGCAATGCCTCATCAGCCCCTCGCTTGTGTCCTGGTATAATTCTGTAATTCTCACCAAATGAACTGTGTGAAAAGGGATGACAGGCACACAGGAAATTAGCACAAAAATTGTTGTTAGTGGTAAAAAAAATGCTGGTTACAATGCAATCAGTAGGGCCATTACTGTTCTCTAATGATTTGCCTGGCTACGGTCAAGACACACTCCAGCTAAAAATTCAAGGGAGATCCTCCCATTACTAAGGCAGGAACAGTTTTCTGATTAAAAAAAAAAAAAAAAAAGTCTTTTTTTTTAATGATAGCTTTAATTTCACATTCCTTTCCTGAAAGTTGCTCCATCAAGATCAGCTTCTGTGCCTATACACAGCTTAAGCCTGGGTCTGAAAAATCAAAACCAACTGAGTCAGATAATCAGAAAAGAAAACTCAGTATAAATAGAGAGCAAAATTCACAATTTGGTTTCATGGTGCAAGCAACAGTGACAAATGGGTTATAACATTAATTTCACTCAGTAGAGATAAGAACTTGAGTTGTTTTTTTTTAAATTGAGAGCTTCTTTTTCTGTCTAGCAAAGTTGGGAGATGTTATCAAAAATACATCAGTCTCTTTGTCTTAATGCAAACCCTGCTGAAGGAAGTGTAAGGGGTTTTTCAGATGCTTATGGCTTTTGCATCAACTTTTTAATTTTAAGTATGAGGTTTGAGGTGGCCTGATACACTGCACTGAGTTATGACTTGGAGTACTCTGAATGAGTCAGCCTTGTGGTTTCTGAGGAATGAGTTGTGCTTCTAGGAATTCAAGCTGGATCTCTGGGCCTGCAGATACTGCCTCTGACGTGAACAGCCAGACCGACAGCTCAAGGAATAGGCAGATTTACATAATGAGCTCTAAACCTGTGAGTTAGTTTTTACAGTTATGAAGGAATTAGATATTAAAGGCAGAAGTGATAAAATAAAAACAACAGATAACAATAGAGAGAAGAGACTTCTAAGTCTTTGGTGCTACTCAGCTGACAGTGGCTGTATCAAACACTTTGATAGTGGTATCTTGAAAAGAAAGAGCAGCAGCGGATTAAGTTTTCTTCATGGCACTGCAAATTCTTATGTGAGACCGTTTGCGTATTCCTTAAATGTGGGATTGTACAGACCCAAATCTGTGATCGTTTTTCTTCAAAGATGGGCTATCTTGTACATTTTGGAAAGGAGGCACTCTGAGTTTCATTTGGAAGTGAAGGTTAATGCTGACATCAATTGTCAGCATTTTATGATGTTTCCTGTGATAATTTAAGACATATGATTGCTAAAATTAATCAATTAAAAAAAACTCCATTTACTGTGAACCTCATTTATTTGATTGGAAGTATTGCCTCTGCACTATATAAACACACAAACAGGCGAGCAAACCATCTCCTTTCTCTTAAATATATTTTTGGCAACTGAATGCAGATATGTGTATTCCTAATGTATATCATGAGTGTAAATGAAGCATTCAAAAATAAGAAATTGCCACAAAAGCATTGTTTATATGAGCTTATTTAGTTCTCCTTGAAATATCATCCATCTGGCAGTATACAGTCCATTTTCCTTAAGACTCCCCTTTTATTTTGTTCATAGCATGGATTATACTTAAGAAATGAAAGAAGATACAACAAATGAGACTGTTATCTAAATCAAAAGTGAGTTTGTTGTCATTTTATATATAATTTTGTGTGTTTTGGACCTTTAAGAATCACAAGTAAACTTTTACACTTGAATGAAAAAAAAATAGAGAAAATTAGGAATCCTTACTGCAATTTTAGGAATCCTTACTGCAGTTCTGGGAAGATTGACTTCAGTTCTATGTTGGTTATAAAGCTTTGTCTTGTCTCTCCAGAGCCCCTCATTCCCTTCTATTCTGGCTCCTTGCTCCTATCAATTCCTTCAGCTCCTGTTGGTATGCTAGTCTTTCCCAGCTCTGCATGGTTGCTTCTGTCATGTTTCTGTATCTCTAAACCCTGAGAGTCACCATGAATCACCTCATGCCTTTCTGTTTCTCAAATCTATTCATCTGTCAAGCTGCCACTTCCTTCTTTTTATACAAAAGACAGAGAAGCTTCTGAGAGAGTTTCTCTTGCCTCGGTTTCAGAGACTAACACCAGAGAAGCTTCCAAGTTCCCAGTATGGTGCACTGGAGGTGAGGTCCCTCTCTATGCCAGGAGTCTTGAGAAACATCAGTGAAATAATGCAAACAAATTTGGCTTACAAAAACAACGTCGAGTCCTTTGCAGTGAAACCACAGTCTGAGGGGAAATTTTGTCAACTACTTCCTCAACAAGAAAGGTTTTTCCTACTGCACACCTGACTGTGAGGTCTTTACTAGTACAAACTCTTCCAGCAACTTGTACAAATCCTTCCAGTTCTTTCCCAAATAGTAACTGTAGGATGGATCCTATGCACAGGGCACAAGCAGACTATATGTTATCTACGTACAGCTCCTACTGTCCCAAAAACCTTTCACACCCTGTGTAAGATACTCTAGGAGAACAGCATTGTCATATGGGTCTCAGTCTGTAAATACTAAAGAATAATTCATCCATCAGTTATGTGGGTTCTCTTTCAAGAATTGTAACAAGTGGCATGGTTGATACTGAAACAAAAGGACAGGGACAGTTGGGTGCTGGTTTTCTGGTTTTGTGTTTTGTTTTGTTGTTTGGTTTTTTTATGCAAACCCATTACACTAGACAGCCATATCTAAGTTTCTTCCTTTTCCTTTTATAGGCACTCTTTGTAATCCATCTCCATACTTCTTTCTTTTGCTTTATAGAAGAAGCAAAAATTCCGTCAGTTGACCTCATCTGGCCTTAAATACACTCTAGTTCTGGGTACAGGAGACTTCCTCCCTTTTTGCACATACTTATAGAGTCAGTAATTTCACTGGCTTTGTTTCATTCCTTTGCTTGCCCCTCCACTTGTGCCATTCCAAATACTCAGACTTATGAATAGCCACATTTCATCTCTTAAAAAATGCATCCATTTGGGATCTTTTGTCTACTTTCTCCTTTTGTCTCTGAAATAAACATTCCAGTCACATTTTCAAGCTTTATTTCACAACAGTGAAAATATAAGCTGAAATTCTTGCACAACCACTTGATCCAAGGAGCTTTAAGAAGAATGCTGTTTACGAAACTTGTGATACAACTGTAAAAGTTGGCAATACAGAGATAGAGAGGAAGCTTATGTCTGCTTTGCCTTTTGATTATCAAACTGCCTTTCATCCACACTTTGCAGGGGTACCTGCTTCTCCTCTGGTCTTTATACAGCTCCAAAGTTTAGCAATGAAAGGGGAAAATTGGTACTGGATCACCTCTTAGAACAGGCTTAAGCTGTTCTGTACTTGGGTATGCCAAGCTTGGTGTGTGCCCTTACAGCCTCTCCACTTTTATGGCACCTTTAGCTGGCTGACATCACCCAGCACATGTCAGAAGGGAAATGGAAATTACAAGCAGGCTGTAGATAGCCATGGAGTAGCACCTTATCAGTGCTACAAATATTTTCAACCCCAAGCAAACAAACCACAAAGACACCCAAGAATACATAAAGCTTTACCTCCTTTGCAGATGGAAAGTAGGATCAGGCTAGGCCTAGTCTGAGAGGACTTGCTGAGCTCTGCCATCAGTTTAAAGAGAGACACCTGATCTATTCAACGAGCAATTTCAGAGTGCACAAGCTAAGGAACCAGGGATGCTGGTTGAAGTCCTGGAAAACACCCTAACCCTTCCTGGGGGATTGTGAGGAGGGTAACAAGTCACCGGTGGTTCCTGATTAGTGGACACCAGATGACTGAAGCCTGACAGTGGACCTCACTCACAGGCTGCTGTCTGAGGCACTCGCAGTCACACCGTGTTGAGGCTTCCAGAAGGATCGCTCCGAGTTCTCTGACCAGTGACAGGACCCTTGGTAATGGTCTGAAACTGTGTCAGAGGAGGTTTAGCCTGGATATCAGGAAAAGGTTCTTCACCCAGAGGGTGGCTGAGCACTGGAACATGCTCTGCAGAGAAGTGGTCACAGCACCAAGCCTGAGCTCAAGAAGCATTTGGACAATGCTCTCAGGCACGTGGTGTGGTTATTGGTGATATCCTGTGCCGGACTAAGAGTTGGACTCGATGATCCCTGAGGGCAGAATATTCTCTGATTCTGTGATTCTTCCAGCGTGCCCAGGGAGGAGCCTAGGCACCAGGAAAACGAGAGCCTTCGCTTCCCGCGGGCCACCTGCAGGCCGGCCGCCCTCCGCCGAGCGCTGTGCGGCCGCTCCCGGCCTCCTCGGTAGGAAGCGGAAGGGCCGGCGGGGCCGGGAGCGGGCCGGGACCTGCCGGAACCACCGCCGGGAACCCCGGAACACCCTCCGGGAACCCCCGGAACCCCCGGCGCGCCCAATGGGCGCGGAGCCCCCCCCGCGGGGCGGGCTCAGGCGGCGGGGCCGGAGCGGAGCGGAGCGGGGCCGGGCCGGGCCGGGCCGGGGCGATGCTGCTGCGCCTGGTGCCCGAGTTCGAGCTGCGGAGGGACGTGGTGCCCTGGCTGGCGGCGCGGGGCTGGGCCGCGGCTCTAGGTAACGCTCCCGGAGGCCAGGAGAGCCCCATCCCTCCCTGCTTCCCTCCCTCTCTCCGGGCGCTCCCGGCCGCCTCCGTGCGGGAGGAGCCGGGCTGCGGCGGGACCCCCGTCCGAGAGGGTCGGGGGAGCGGCCGCTGCTGTCCCCTCGGCCGGGGCGGGCGGGGAGCGACCCCCGGGTGCCGGGGCACTCGAGGTGGGCGAGTTTGGTGTTCTCCGGGAACTTATCACATGCCGAAAACACTTCTAACACGCCCGCTGCACTCCACAGCTTGTTTCTTTCTCCTGCTTCTTCACACGTTTGGGCTTTTTTTTTTATTATTATTATTTTTTATTTCCCCCTCCCCTTCCAAAGCAAACAAACGAAAGTTTTAGCGTGGTTCCTTCTCCCATGCTGCTCCCCTTTCTGGGAGGAAAAAAACCCCACAGCCTGAACACTTCGGTCTGTTTGGTAAACGAGCGCTGGTTAAGATTAGAGGCATGGGCAGCTGTCGCAGCACCGTGCGATATCCAGCGTGCTCTGGGTAGTGGCTGGAAAAAAGAGTGAACCCCCTATATTCCTGGCCCTGTGGCTTTTTGGTTTTGTTTGTTCTTATTCATCTACAGAGCAGCTGGCCCAGTTCTGTCTTTCAGAAACTGATGGAAACCTTATTCTAATACAATAATACTGCTGTAATAACTATCACTTCAGTAGTAATATCACTGGGGGCACTGTGGGATGAACTTGAAACCAACTCCTTTAGTGGCTTTTAATTTACTCAAAGTATTTAACTTGCTTCCCACACTGAAGGGATGTTATCAAATAGGTTCATAAGATCTTGTTTGGCGGCAACCCAAAAAGTATCAGCTTGGTAAATCATGAAATTATTTACTAAGCCATGATTTACAAAATGAGTTAAAAAAGTATTGTGTATTTTCTACATAATTTACTGAAAAACTGTTGAATGGTGTAATGAAGGGGTTTGAGGTAAAATTCTGAAAAGTCTCCACACATGATTGATTCATCTATGGATTTATCAGTTGGTCTGTGATGAGTTCAAAGATAAATCTATGTACTGGTGGCACAAGTATCTCAAAATGGTGCTGACTTGTGTTTGGGAAAAGGGCAATCATATTCAGCTTTTTAAAATGCAATGCAGAGTCTTCATTCAGGACATGCCCCTGGTAATACAGAATCAGAATAATCTAGTTTGGAAGGTGCGTCTGATCCAATGCCAACTTTGCTGTATTTCATTTTCCCTTTTATCTGTCTATACTGACTCCTTCCGCTCAGGCAGTGCTGTTATATTAGGAATGTGAAGATGGGAGGTAGGAATGAAAAGGTTCCTTTAAGCATCAAAGGAATATTTAATCACAGAAAGCAAATAATTTGTAGGAGTCATAGTACTTCTGTATCAGTGGTTTCAGATGTTATATTTATTATTTTTTTTCCCTGAGGTCTTGAAAGCCCTTGATAGCATGTGAGAATTGCTAACTGCATGAGAGCTGGGAGTAGCTATGATGATAGGAAGGGAGTGGCAAGTGAAGCGAAGCAGCCTTGTTCTCTTTATTTCACTTAGTTTTGTTTGAGCTGCATAGAATGGCCTTCAGGAAATCAAACTCTGCATTCTCCTGATTGTGTCAGTAAGAGCCATTTGCTGGGCAGGCAGGTTGGGTTTGTTCTTTTGCAGCCCTTCATCTACTGGTCTCAGCTGTGGGCATGAGGAAGAAGTTGTAACTACATTCCAGGATTTTCCAAGGGTGGAGACCACTGCCACTTCTTCTTTGGCTCCATATTCCACTGACCATTCAGTGACATGAAATTCTCTTCTGACACAGAAATTTTTCAACATCTTTAAGAAGTCTGTGTCAGATGATAGGGAAATTCATTGACATGGAGAGGGTAATTCACTGACATGGAGATTTCCCATGGACCTTCTTCTCTACCTAAATTCTATTCTGAGGAAGGATTGTATGAGGGAGAAGTGGGTAGACCATGGTACTCATCTTGAAAGTTTGAGGTGTGGTTAAGTTCCAGGAAGTTTTCACTCAAAAAAGAGCAGGTTATATGGTTATCTGAGACTGACTCAGTTCTCACCAGCTAGCCCTGATGTAGTGGTATTGTAGTGTAGTTTGAGTGATGTGAAAACAATAGAAAGCGATGCATTGTTAAATGTACATGAAGGTTTCTTGTCTTCCCATGACAAAACAGAATTTACTTCCTTCTGATCATACTTGTAAACAGGTTTTTTCCACTTATCACTGAAAGCTGTACAAGCCAGTTTATAGTATCAGGCTTGTTAAACTGACTTTTACAAAGTGTCTTCCTTCTGTCAAGGCTTTGTGATAACTGCCAATTAAATAGTGTCAGACTTGACTACATGCTTGCCAAGAGTTGCGGACAATTCTTTTTGTTGATGCTTACTGAACTGCATGTTACCTTTATGATACAACTATAACCAATCATGCAGCTTCAACCTTATAAAGGGCAAAATTTACAATTTTAATAAGAAATTCATCTGAGATAAACATGTGTTTGATGGTTGCAGTGATCAGAAAACATAAAAGCAGCATGAGGAAAGCGCAGAATTAATCTCTGAAGATGTAGTTTATTTCCAGGTTTTCCTTTGAGATGCTGAAGGGGCAGACAGGAGCAAAGGACACTTTGCTTAGGCTAGTGTCAGAGTGCAACTTAACTGTTTTAATCCCATATGTATAGTGAATAAATGCAAGGTTTGTTGGATTTTTTTTTTCTTGTTTTTCTCTGAAAAAGTACATTCCATTTTCATTTACTAAGGGTAGTGGCCATTAGAATCACAATCATAATGAAGAGTTAGGTGTTTAGATAAATAATTAATTCCTGTATATTTTGAAATCCCTTAACTATTTGTGTTGAAGTTTATCAGATTTGAATCATGATGTAAAAGATACTCTCTCTGTTTCCAGAAGGGAAATATAAATAAGTATTTACATGTAAAAAATCATTAACCAGCCCAAATGAAAACCCTGTGCCTCTTGATACTTCTTATTTCAGATACTTCTGAGAATTCACCAGCACTATATGTTGTAAATGTTGAAAGAAATGGAAAAATTATTTATACCTGGAAGGTAAGTCTCTCTTGAAACTTTATAAAAATATAATTGAGAATAACACTACACGTGAATCTGAGTTCTTGTCGTTTAATTTTTTTTGCATTGAGGTTTAGAAAACAAAAACTCGCCTGATTACAACCTGGGGGGTTGGGTAGTAGGAAAATATCTGTCTCCACTTCAGACAAAGGTTAAGAATGATGAAATGGAGAGTAAAGTACTGACCTGATTAAGTCCATAGAGGTTTTGCCCTTGATTTTTTTGGTGGGCCAGAATCTCACACTGAGTGAAAGGCAATTTCTTTAACAGATAACTCTTTAGAAGTGGCACATTTTTTCACCCTCAGAATTTCTTAGAGAAGTCTAAACTATTAAATTCATGGCACTGCTTTACTTAAATGTTTTCTTCTACCAATATATATGTTAAGATGCCATTAATCTAACACCATTTCTGCATGTACCTTTCTTCTCTGTGACTTCAAGATTCATCTGTAGCCCTTTATTGCAAGTAGTTTAAAGTAACCATCATTTATTTGATGTCTCCAAGTATCTAGAGCTAGAGTTAATACAGGATTATGCTCTCCATGGCATATGTTTAGCTTTCAGCTCCAAGATATTTTTGAAATAGTTTCAGAAGGTGACACCTTGTCTTGTTCCCTTGATGAGAGACTGTGCAGCTCAGAGGTGTCTGTAGACCCAGCTGGATCCTGGAGGATCTTGATTCTTTGAGAGTGCAGATCTGAGATGAACTCCGATAGAGTAGGGCTGCCTTTCATTCCCCTCTGGCACAACAATGCTAAAACTCTCCAGCTTGCCTAGGGTTAAGGGAAGAGGTGAGGCCTTCATCAAGGTATAATACTGTGGGTGGATGTTTCCTTTAGTACAAGCATAGGGAGGGGAGTCTGTACAAGACAACAGTAACCATAAAAACAATACTAAAGAATGTATCAAATTGTTGTGTTCCTTTTTCATTGCTTGAAACTCTAGAAGACTTATTGCAAGTAACCTACTGGCTCAGCAGGAGACCTGGTACTGTGTGTATGTGATGTTGCTGCTTTGTAGAGTTTGTGGAATCTCACACTAAGCTTTTTTGGGCCTCTGACAGCCTAACTGCTTTGTAGGCTCTTGCAATGGCCCAAGGGATGAGTTGTAGCTCAGGGTTCACACATCTAAACCCAGGTGCCTGCCTGTATGCTGGGTGTCTGAACTCCCACTGTAGTTCCTAGGGGTCTGGTCAAAACAGCTGATGGAGTGCATGGAACTGGGCACTTGTAGCTTGTTTTTTGAGAGGAGTTGTATGGGGTGGAGGATGTAAACTGAGCCGACCTGGCTTGGTTCCTAATACATACAAATAGGATGTTGTAGACTTTCTTTCTACGTGAGAGAAAGTCAAGTGTGTTTTGTGTGAAACCAGGGGAAGGTGGAGAATGAGCTTTATTTTCAAGCTTATTTTAGAACATTGCATTGTACTGTGGTTTTGACAGTGTGCCTGTCTTTTGTGACGTCAATAGTTGGTCTCAAGGAAGATATTTTTAATAGAAGTGAATTCTATTTGCAAGGCAATGCAAAAATCTTTAGAGGGCACATGAAAACAAATGTCTTAGCTTATGCATGGTTATGGGCATTGATATAGTTCTGTTACCAGTCTTGTGAAGTGTATTTTTCAGTGTCTAAGTACAGAGGGTGTTAGCCTTTCAGACACACTTGGAAAGAATGGTTATTTGTGAAAGCACTTGCTTAATCTTAAATTAGGAGGCCTGGAGCCCATGTCTTAATATAAAGACATTTTGTTTTCCTTGTTTAAATCAGAAGTCAAAGACTTTTGTCATTGCCACAACAATAATGAGACACTCAGAAACAGACCCCTTGGGAAGCAAATACTCAGGCTTTTGTTTTAACTTCACAAGGCAAGATGCCATAACTTTGTAAATAACCACAGATCTCTCCCCTCTTCCCCCAAGCTGTAGTTAAAAACAATGATGCTCACTGTTTGAGTACAAGCCTTTTTGGCTGGATTTAATTTCAGCAGTTTAATGATTTAGTTCCTATACCTAGAGTACATTAATAGACATCAGTTTGATTTGATATACAGTATATGCTACCAGAAGAATTTTCTTTTTCAATATATTTGGAAAATTTAAGGCATGGTAAAAGTTAAAAGAAGAAAAGATTTGTATGTTATTACCCATAAGCTAGAAAGGATGTGTATTATGTTTCTCTTCAAAGGCAGAAGGCTTATGGTAAGCTTGTGAAATGTGTTTAACCTTCAAACAATCCCTTCCTAAGGCAGAGAGAAATCCTCTTTCCAGGCTGCAACTAGATCACTGGAAGCTGTTTTTTTGGGGGGGATGTTTGATGTTTCTGTGCTCCCTTTTGGAGCAATAGCACACCAAGTTGGTGAGGTTTGGAATACCAGCCTTAAATCTCCAGGGGCCATAACATCCCTTTTGATTCTTGCACAGACATCTCTCTTCCTGACCCTACTGCCTTTAACTAAAATCAGTTTAGAAGCAAAGTGAGAGAGAGGCACTTGGCTTATGCAATGGCTTGTGGGCTGTGCATTGGCCACATTTCAGCTTTATTCCATGTGTTAGTTCTAAAAGGAAAAATAAATCTTTGTTCTCTTGGAATTAGAGTTTGCTTTCTTGGAATTAGATAATTAACTGTCTGTTTATAGGACAGGGAAGTGTGTGAAGATGTGTGTCAGGGGGCAGGGAGAAGAGGGAGGTAGGGAAAAAAATAAAAGCAATGTTTAACTTCATATGTATTTATATTGCCAGTGCTAATTTGTTTCCATCCATAGGGAAGTCAGAGAAATACTCATATTGGATTGTACGATCTTCAAACTAAACAAAATGAGGTGAGAACAATACCAGTTTTCTCTCTGGTGAAGACAGTGCTGTAGTGTTTTAGATTTTGATGCCTTGTAACACAGTGTGTTATGTCCTTAAGGAGCATGTCTTTGTTTGAAACAGAAGTGAGACCGGAGAAGATATTCAAATGATTCTCAATAGTATTAAGATGCAGAATGTTATAGAACATCTGAAAGGCTTGAGAGTAGCAAAGCATCACATCTGCAATATTTATTTCAAAACAACCAGTTCAAGCCCTTTCCACTCCTCTTCACACTGAACATGTGTGCTAAGAAGTAAATGTTTGCGGTTTTCTTTACGTGTGCATTCTCAGTCTATTTGATGCTACTATTTGTAAGAAATTATTTTATTCTAAAACTGAGCAGACTGCAATTCAGTAAGTAGATTCATGGTAACAGGACTTTGCAGGTGTCCCCATAACAGTATGAAATGGGTGAAATTTTGTATTTACGTAAAAGTCTACTGTGCTGCTCCAGAGGCAACACAGAGCTCACAAGAACCAGTAAGAAACAAACAAATGAGAAAAAGGAGAACTGATACAACTGAGGCTTGAAATATGGTTCTTCTGGCCATGAAAAGATTTGGTTTAAAGATAAAACCTGTGTACTGGACAGCAGTGTTTTCCTAAGGAGAAGTGATTAGGTTTCCTTTATGTAGTTTAAGAAATTGCATTTATTAATGCTACCATGTTTCTCTGTAGCACCTCTATACATTTGAGAAGGATCTACATATAATCAGCTGTTCAGTCAACAATGAAAGGACATTATTAGGTAAATATGTGTTTTATCTTTAATTTTTTTCCTTTAAGGAGTTAGTTCAGTAGGATCGTACATTTGGGTATAGAATTAGTTAAATCTATTTTGACCGATCTGTTGCACACGGCACTTTATGCTCTTCAGTGGATCCATCACCAAGTAATGTAGGTAACAATATAAAGACACAGCTGTAATGATACTGCTGTTTTATTAAAATGAAAGTTGAAGACAAACTGACCTTTTATTCACTTCCTCCTTCATTTATGCCTGCCTCCAACTTCCAGCAGAACATCTGTTGTTCCTTTAGCATGTATGTTTTTCGTAGAAAAATTGTGAATCTCCCTATTTGTGAATGTTTAATAAGATTAATATCAAATATGCAAACTCACTGTGTTGTGTTGGTGTTTTTTCCCCCTCCTTAGCTGTCAGCTTCCATCAATACACAGAGGACGAACCAGCAAGTCAGCTATTACAGTCAGGTACTGCAAGTGGGTTGCTTGAATACTGTTTGAAATGTCATACCCTTTTACTTGCTGTCCCACATAATTTCTGTTTAGAAAACAAAACTGTGTACATAAAAGAGTGTTATCTAAAACGTGTCCTTTTTTCAGTATCCAAGTATTTAACCCTGCTAATTGAAATTCATCCCATTAATAATGTGAGAGTCCTGAAGGCTGTGGATAGCCGCATTCGAGTGCAGGTAAATTATTCAACTAATCAAAAGATAAGCCTTTGTAATCCACTGTACTAGAGGAAAAACATGGTTGAGTGCAGAAATATCTTATCTTGCAACTGTTACAGAGATAGCGTCTCTGTGTTCCTTCATAGAATTAAAAAAATGTAACTTCATAAAATGTTTGATACAGAATATTTCTCTGACATGAAGGCTGCTTTTTAATTTGTCTTCAGTCCCCTGAAACTTGTAGTTATAGTGATTATATTATAGTAATAGTGGTTATTTTTGTTTATTGAATATCATTAGTTTGTCTGACTGAATTTAAAAATACGTAAATGGCCAGCTAAACCCCACCCATTTCAGATAAGTGTTCTAAACTACTTCGGTTATTTACTTAACTTTTGGGAAACTTTTTGTGTAGTTTCTTTATCCAGTTGAAGACAGAAATGCTTCTACAGAAAGTCGCCTCTTGCTAGTTTCAGAAGATAAATGTAAGTTAATATTTTCAAAGTAAATCTTTGTTCTTTTACTTCAAGGTGATCATTATAGATTATATTTTTTGAAACCTTTTATTGGGAAGAAAACAGGAAAAAGAAGGGTGTGAGCTATTCTAGGTATTCTAAAGGTCTCCCAAGAACTGTATCATTTACTGGAATTTTTTTCATTTTTAGCTGAATGGCCATCTTTGACTGCAATTAGTTGCTTAGTTCATGCATTCATCAGTTATCTTTATTTATTAAACACCTAAAATTGTCATTTTACAGCTGCCTATATAAATTCAGAGCAGATCAATTGACTGGGAAAGATGGACTGTGATTTAACATGTGACAAGTGGGATAAGAATAGCACAATAGTTCATTGGATTCAGCCTAATATTGCATGTTCAACCTGATCTGTTGGCATGGAATGGATAAAGGTGGACACTTGGAAAAGGCTGTTCATTGCTCTTGCCTTTCAGTTTTGTAGAGTGAGGTTGCTTTTACCATCTCTTTGGAGAGGCCCATCTTCTCTTAGCTAGACACCAGCCTTGAGTAGCTGGACTTAGGTGGGCAGAGTTCTTACAGTGTTCTTGCAGAAGTCTAAGAGGTGAGATTGTTTAATAAGCTGTATAAAAGCATTTAAGAACGTATGTTTGTAATGATTTTTTCTTATGTTTTAAAGATATTGAACAGTTTGACATTCGTGTTGTTGCAGAAGAACACAAAGTGGTAAGACTTGAAAAATCATGGGGTTTTAGTTTTTTTGCTTCAACTGAAAATGTAAAAATCTGTAATTTTAGCTAACAGTTTTTGTGGTTTTATACTTGAGCAACACAAAGTATATTAGAGAGAGTATTGATAATATGGCAACTTATGCAGCTAACCATAAAGCTGAACCTGTATAGCCTTTAATCTCTGAGGAAAATTACTTATTGTATTGGGTTTTATTTATTGCTGAATGCTTTTGTATGTTAGAAGTTAGGAGTAAACATGGTGTATATTCATTTGTAAACCATTTTAAGTATTTGCAGTGTCACCTTCTTAACTTTGTCTTTTGTGCATCTGTGTGATCCCAGTAAAGGAGTCGCTTAAAAAATAAGCAAACAAAAGATTTAAAACTTAGATATAGTGCGAGTACAGTGAATGTTCCAATCTCTTTTTCCTGTTTTTAACATAAATTTGTCTTCAACAAATTGTGGGTGTTTTGCTTATTATTAGTAAATATGCATGTAATAAAGTAAAGAATTGTGTCATGAAAGCCAATGTTTTGCTTTATGGAGGCAAATGTAAGCTTGGAGGGAAAAGTTAAGGACCAGATTTTGGTCACTTTGTCTTTTGTGGTTTTCTCCAGGTTTATCATCATAACCTATAAAGCAGATGGATTTTAGATGCTAGACTACAGTAGTGAAGGCTAAGTGTAATCAGGAAACTGATTTGATATTCTTCTAACAAACAAATTTCTTTTAGTTGGCATGAAATCTCCATACATCTTTCAAGTGCATTTATACAATCCCAACAGTTTTCCAGGGCTCTAGTCCTTTCCCTGCCTCCAAATTCTCTGTCACATGGCTGAGACTTTGGACAGAGATCTCTTTCTGAGCTGACACATCGTCCTTCACTAGGTAATGCAGCTGATTCTGAACTGGCTGTGGTATTTCCCTCCTCTGTGTTGAAGAGTGCTGTCTGTTTTATTTTGTTCACTTTGAGCAGCTTAAGTGGTGAATTTCTTACAAGCAAGGAAGTCTGAAAGAAAAGATTTGTTAGTAGGTGTACCCTGACAACTGTGCTTCCGATCTCTTTAAGCTGAGCACCCTGCACACAACAAAGGTGGACTTTGTGCCACTAACAAGGAGCATGTTCCCTCCAATCACCTTAGTATTTGTGCCACTGCTGTCATTGCTTTTTTCTTTAAAGCACAGACTGTGCACAATTGTTACAGAGCCTTATTTCACAACTTCTAATGTTCTTTCTTTCCCTTTAGGTGATTCAAAAGTCAGGTCAACTTCCAAGAGCCAAAGTTGCAGATGACCTCGTTTGGGCACAGTGGGATATGATGGAACAGAGGCTCTTCTACATTGTTCCAAAGGTGAGAATGAAAGTCATTCTTGGAGGTTTTTTCCTGCCCCTCTAGAGACAGCAAAGTTTTGAGTGTGTTGGGTAACAAGTGGGAGTTTGTTTTTGTGAGGGTAGGCTGTCCTATTCCTGCCTCAAAAAACAAAAGTAAGACTCAGCTGCTATTGTGCCCTGTAAATTCCAAGAAGATTGGTGGTCTTAGTGCTTTCTATAAAAAAGATGGGGGTTTTAGGTTTTTGGCTTTAGAAAGATCTTTTATTCAAAAGTATCTAAATCTGCCCAAAGCTGTTGTGCATATAATGCTTCTGTTCTAGAGAATTCACGTATAGAAATATGTGGGCATATTTTGTATGCAGACTTAGTGAGTTACCAAGTGAGGACGGGTTCTTGGCTAGAAACTTTAAAACTCTTTAGGTTTGGGTTTTTTGTTTTGTCTGAAGGACTATTTGGATTTGATGTGTTCTGTGTAAATGAATATTCATTTTTCTAAACTCTTCTTAGCCACAAAAAGGAGTGAGGGTTAGGAAGTAACAGGAAGTGGACTGTGGTGGAGAAATGTATTCCTGCTTTTGTTTCTGAGATGCCCTTTTTGAACTGACCAAAATAAGATACAGTTCTTTTTGCCATATAAGTAACTATGGAAAACATTTTTTTTTTAACTTTCTAGAATGTGTGAGACATGTATTGCTGTGCTTCAAGTGAGAGCCCACGCAATTATAGATGATTGGCAGATAATGATCTGGGACAGGAAGGAAGCATGTCATAGTGCTATTGTGAGGGGTTATATGTGGTTTTTAAATTCTTCTTTTGTCCCCGAAGTTCTGCATATCTGTCAGCAGAACAAGTTGAGTGTGGAGAACGGTGTGGAGTATCCAATCACTTTTCAGTCTATACAATATGCTTCCTTAGTCACAAAACACATCCTTTTTAATTCCAGGAATCAAAGAGTACTTTAAGGTGTGTCCAGTTTTATCCTGATGAAAATTTTAACGCAATAGTAAGTTATAAGTGTTTTATTATGTAATGGCTTTTAGTGGGATGTAATTATGTGTTTCAGGCACGAATACAGAGGTCTGTTTCAGTGTCTTTTATTGTTGAAGTGTTTTCAGAAGAAAACTGGGGTTTGTTTTTCCATTTGTTTTTTGGAGGGGTTTACATTATTTTATTGTCGAGAATATAGTCAGTCAGAATCAGATTGTGCCACAGTAAGGTATCTTTACTGGAATTATAGTTATTAACCTAGAAGGAAGTAAGGGACGTTCATGACATTGTACTGATCTTATATTCAATTATTGAAAAAGCAAGCTTGTCAAATGCACTAGACAAAGGAACCATGTGGTAATTTTTTGTCAGTTTTAAGTGAAAGAAGAACATTCATTGCAGTAAAAATACAGAGAACAGAACATAAAAATTCTGACGTGTAATAGTTACTAAACCTTTGTCTCAGTGGCTGAAATTTGCTCTAATGCAGGAGGTTAAATATCTCTCAATTTATTTTCTCGTTTTCAAAAAAATCTATTTTATGGATTTTTTTTGGAGTGACTGTAAGGATTAGAGGAAGATAAATAAACCTTGTTAAAATGTTGAATCTGGTGAAATGTGAATGTGACACTGATCTGAAATACTAATCATAATATACTGACCACACTAAATAACAGGTTTGTTTTCTTTTTTGATTAACAGCTGGAATCACACCTGGATATTTCTGTAAATGACACACAATTGAAGTAAGTTGTTTGGTTTTTTAATGTTCTGTTTTGCTTTCCTTTTATTATATATGGTAATGTTTTACAAACCTAAGAGAAATTTGTCCAAACCATAATATCTTTGTTTCCAGTTGCCTGTGTAGTACTGTAACATAAGAACAACGTGAACACTGTATCCAAACCTCTGGTTCTTATTTTCATCAGGATCTACTGTAAAAAGTAATTTAATCCTCGACTGCTTCTTTGTGCCATTTTTAAAAATTATTTCTCTGAAGAGCTAACTATAGGTTAAACCTTTGAGTAGGCCATACCTATTTAAGTTAATTTAGTTTAACCTTGGTCTTATTGTAGTGGTGATGTCAAAATTTCTGCCGAGGGAAGCTCTCCATTTTTAACTGCTCTCGCAAGTTTTATTGGGTGGTTAACCAGACCAGTAGCTCCTTTTTATAGCCTATGAGACACTGCCTGTACTCTGTTCTCCTCCAGCGTGCTCTTTCCAGGCAGCCTGCACTTTGCAAGATGATTTGTCTGATTCTGTCTGTGTCTGCCGTGCACATGATTGCATCTGAGCTTGTCTCCTTAAGGCTCCCTTTTAACTGAGGAAAAATCTAGTCAGGGTGGTGTGACTCTAAGTCATAATTCATCTCATCCTCATCTATCTTCAGTCAGTTGGATTTACATTCCAAAAGGGCCTGTTTATCTCTGTGAATAAAAAGGGAGGCCAAAACTACTAGGTCAGATATCAATAACTGGATGTAGTTGAGTTCCACTCTGCCCAAACCATGGCTCTTGCAATGTCTCAGTGCACGAGGCTCACTGTGGTGCTGCTGCACATGCAGGTGGCCCTAAAAGAGCAGTGTATCTTCTTGCAGTTAGTGCTGAAAAAATCCAGCTCTTATAAGAGCTTCATTGCTTGTATCTTACTTTTTTTTTTCAAAATTATTGCGGAAGACCTGGGGGCAGAATGCCTACAGGATCAAAATCCTTTCTGGAAAAAAATTCAGCCAAACAAAAAAACCACCCAACAACAACGAAGCCAAAGCAGACCGACTACAATCTTCTGTTGCATGTTCTGCAGGGCAAAAATAGGCCTTACAGATTTAAAGACATGTAAAACCCTTTATGCACAGGCAGTATGAGATGGAAAATGTCATGGTATAACAAGTTCCATGTGAGTGTGATCTTTGTGCTTTCCTTTTCAAGTATTTCCGCTGAAATTAGTGTTCCTAATTGCAGATTAAAATGTAGCTTTACAGACATGGGCTTTGGAGTTAGTCTGCAAAGCCTTGGAGTTATCAGGTATGATGAGTATTTGGATTTCCAGTAAAACATGAGAACCTGCCTTCACTTCAAAATATGGGAATGGTTGGACAATGCAGTAAATGAATATAAAGTTGGCAGGTGTGATCAAAATTGTTGGGTAACAGTGTGAAGACTTGGGGTCCTCATTTCTAACAGCACTGAGCAGACTGGTTAAAGCTGAATTTAACTTGCATTAGAGAACATTTGATTATAATTTAATTAGTATGTTTTCATTACAGAGTGACTGTTCTCATGATCTTTTTGTTCTGACAATTCTCCGTGGATTAAATGATTTATTTAGTGATCTTTATTTGCTCATAGACTTGTGAATTTTGGATATGATTGCTGTCAAGACCAAGATGTTGCATCTAAATCTTTGAACCTTCAGGTTTTTACAAGTAAAGCAGGTAATGAATAAATACAAATATAGTCAAAGTTACCTCTACTAGTGATTACCATGCAGTGTAATCATAATTGATTACTAAATTTCTTCATCAGACATTAAAAAACACACAAAATACAAATATGTATAATATGAGTGTGAGATCTGTATTCCATTAGAATCTACTCGATAGGCAGCAGTGAAGAGAGGCAGCAGACAAGCAGAGGTGGTACCTTTTTAACCCTTGTGTCATTTGCAGAGTGGTGCAGGGAAGTGTTGCAGAAGTGACTTTACATCTCACCCCCCAAGGCCTGCTGTGGTCTGTGCACACCAGCCAATTGCTGAGCAATTTGCCAGTTGCACTTAAGTGACCATTAATGCAAATCAAGTGAAATACAGTTCCCTTACAAGGATTTTTCTCTTACCAAGGCAGACTGACTGCATGCTTAGAAAGGTTAGAGGGAAGGAATTAGAAGTAAGAGAGCCAAGTTTCTGTCTGCCAAGTGTAGATGAGGCTACTTTTTCTCTGTTAGCAAGACAATTTCTTGTACTAACAGTCTGTCCAGAAATGGAAAATAATATTGATTTGTATATATATGTTTTCTTTTAAACATACACTCCTCAGAGGTTTGTTCAGATTGAAGCATCTCCTTAATTTAGGATGAAATTAAGACATCCTCCAACAAGACTCCTGTTTGGTTACCCTGAAATAAAATATTCTTTTCCATCTGGCAACACAGTATCTAAATTCTGTGGAGAACCTTTCACAATTGCTTTTCATTGCACTTAATGTAAAATACATAATTTGACAACTGTACTTAGTATATGAGATTACCGTAGTGACTTTTCCTTGAATGTTGTTTGAAACTGAGGATTACCTATCATGACCCATTTTGGGTAACTAAGAGTTTGGAGCAAATTATTTTGGTGCTAAAACCATATCTAGTTGTTGAAGAATACTGTGAGTAATCACACTAAGTTCCCTTTTGTGCCTGTGTTTGTGGTGATTTGCAAAACTTCTTTGTGGCTCAGACTATGCCTTCTGTGGAAGTGCCAGCATGCTTCAGATATTGATACCAATATACCTATTTGTACCATTTGGACATTTCTGACAAAGAATAATTGGCATAACTTCAAACTGGAATATTCCATGCAATTTCCCATTTAATGTAAATGTTATTGGCTCCTGCCAATCTGAACTCTGAATGAAATCACTCTTCCTTTCTTAGACTTCCGCAGCAGAAAAGTAGCTCTGTTCCTTGCACTCAGCACAGACAAAATGTCTCCAGATAAAAATCCTGATGGACCTCTTGAGTAGCTGAGATCAAGCAGTTCTAGTTTCAGAATTAACTTCGTATGTCCAGAATTCAGTGATTGTTTAAAAAACACTGCACTGCTATGTTTTCTCTTAGTGCTTTAGAAATACTTTTCAATTAAATTTTGTCAGCATTAAAACAAAATGCAGGCGGTAAGAGGACATAAACAGTGGCTTACCGTCACCCATCTGTCTGCCTGAAAGTTAGGCATCTGGACTGAGTTTCTAGAGAGAAATAGGCATCTCCAGAGGATGATTGTTTCAATCCATATTCCTTTATTTGCTGTATAGGGGTCTAAATGAGTTTGGATGACTGAAGTGAGGCAAGTCACTCCTAAACCAGTACAACTAGACAAAATGCCCTGATGCAATGCTGTATTTGAACTGTTGCATTTGGATGCCACCTTGAGATGTTGGAAAAACCTCATGTCTTGAGCTTTTGTTTGAACAGAAATGAGGAATTTGAAGTTAAAGTTTCCCAGGTGGCTCTTACAGTCTCAGTGGTATGATGTACGTTTTTCAAGTGGCAGAGTTGTAATTGTTGTTTCCCAGGTAGGAGTAGAACTTAATTTTTAAATGCTTCCTTTCTTTTTTGTTTATTTTGTGGTTGAGATATTTTTTCCCTTTTATTTCTGGAAAGGTAAGAGTCCATCCAAGTATATCTTCATGTGAGTCTTCTCACCCTGAGGCATTCAGCTACAGCCTTCACTGTTTGCAAATGATTTTGAAATTGGTAGCGTAGAAGACCTGGTCCTGCCTTCACATGAAACACTTACCGTACAGGTGCAATAGGATAACAAACTTTCCCTGCAGCAGCACAACCCAGCTCTAATTTCCAGAGGGCCTTGGTAAGGATAGGAAAGGAGTTTGTTGCATATTCCCAGTCTCTGGCTGCTCTACTGGAATTGCTTGGACTGTATCAGACGTAAGGCTGCTTGGATCCTTGCTGATCTGAGGCTGACCACGTTTCTGTCTATATTAATGAAGCACCCTTTGTTACTTTCTGTTGTTTGGGGGTTCAGTTTGTTGACATTTGGACCAGCATCCTCCAGGTGAAAGATGCACATGCTGTTAATAGTTCCCCATAGCTGCTGTTTCTGTGATCAGCTTGCATATATTACCCAGTGACACTTCAGTCTGAACAGACTCACTTGCATGTTTACAGAACAGTGTACACAGTAGCCTCCAGCATACAAGAAAGAAATTTGCAGTGCTGGAAGGGAGCTGTTGATAATAAAACAGCATTGTGGGTTACTGGAGCTTTTCCAGCCTTCCTCATGAGTCCTGATGCCGCTACTTTAAAAATTATGCGTGCAGTGGAAGAAGCCAAGTGCTCTGGCAAAATGCCCTGTCTGTTGTCTGAATGACTCAAATATCCAAGCAAAACTGTATCAGACAATATTCAGTCAGCTAAGAATAAGTAGAAAGAAAAATTATATCTGAAGAAAGTATTTACCTTCCCCAGAAGGCGGAAGTGTGAAGTGTCTCAGCCATATCTGTGTCACAGCTATGGTACAGCTTTGGGGTGTGAAAAATGAGGCCTTAAATCAAATAAAATATCTTGGTAGCTGGTTTTTTTTTTTTTTTTTTTTTTTTTTTTTTTTTTTTATTTTTGTTTTTTTTGTACTGTGCCATTTTCTGTATATCTTGTATACATAGCCTTTTTTTTTTTTTTAACAGAACAGTATCTGTATTAGTATTACTTTTTTTATTTTTTATTTTATTTCTTGTGATAAACTTTCAATAAAGGAAAAAGGTGAGTGGTCATAGTTGTGGCCAAGCTTTCCCAACTGTATTGGGATAATGTTGTTTGGAAGTTGTTTTTAACCTGAGTGCCAAAGCATCAGAATAAGTGGATTAAGTTTTTGTAAGAGATGGAGGCAGGGCTACCATCCAGGGGGGTCAAAACAGGATCAGTCTGATTTAGAATTAAGTTGGGAGCAGAGAGCGCTCCTGTACACAGTAGCTTGGCTGAAATAATGCTTGTGCCAAGGACTGACTTTTCTCCTAGAGAAGGAATTAACATTTCTTTGGGCTGGAAAGGGGAAAAGTGACTATCATTTCTGGTGTAAGAAAGCTCTAGCAGTCTGTCATGCTGCTGCCAGTATGAAATGACTTGAAAAGCAAACAAACTGTGTTTTACTATGTTGTTCTGAGAATATTTGACAGCTCCTGAACATAAAATACTTGGATTTAGGCAGTCTATGGAGATAAAGGCTTGCTCAGTTTTCTGGCTGCAAACATGATTTCTACTGGGAAGGGCTAAAATGTACTTCTCCTAAATGGGAGAACTGGCAATGTCAGGACCCAGGTTTCTATTGTGCCAGACTGACTCCTCTTTTCTTTGTTGATTTTGTGTTTTGTTAGCTAAATGATGGTTAGAGGTACATAATAGATATTTCTGTAGTCTTTATCTTTTTTGAAAGATTATTTTTAGTTTCTAATTTGAAACAGTCATGCTTAAGTTTTGTGCAGTATAAAGACGTCTAGATAATCAGGTGGACAAATCACTTTTCTTATTTTGTCTTTTTAGGAGGCTTGTGTGTGTGTTGTAGTCTAGCCTCTGATACTCCTGATGAAATCATGTACTCCATATATTTTTTACATAAAGGTAAGATTAACCTGTTAACTTACTATGCTTTGTTTTTGGAGAGTGTCACTGTGCTGAAAGAGTCACAGAACGCCTTTCAAAACAAATAACTACCGAAGTCTGCAGACAATAAACTACTGTGGCTGGTGTTTAAAGACAGCAGCTGCCTTTAGCTGCAAAGTTGACTTTCCTGCTGTAGACTTCCTGCCTGATGCTGAATGAGTAGCTTCAAACCAGTGGCCTTGTAAATGCTTATTAATTTGGTCCCTTATTTCTAGCCAGACTTTCCGGCGTGCTGAGCACAGACATCAATGAAATCTGTGGGAGCTTGCAGGTGTGTTGTACTTCTGCCATAAGGCATTTGGATGGGAAATAGAGCCAACAGCTCTTAGCTTGAATGTCTGTTTAGAGTTCCAGTTTAACATGTCATTTTCACAGCAAGAGGTGCAACACCCACTGATTCTAAGAATAGTTGCTGTGTAAGTGGTGCTCTAGCTCTTGAAGTTAAGACCTTTCTTTGTTTTAAAATAGTAAAAACCATTGCTTGATGCTGAGCAGAATAAAACTTCTTGTTAGCAAGATTTTCTCATTTGATACATGGATGAGAGAGGCAAATTATTTCTCAATTGAGAAGCTACATAGTATGGAATAACTGAGTTCAAGAGGACAACATAGCTCTCTCCTACCTTAGGTGTTTGCTTTCTTGTGTCAGGATACTTTAAGTCAGAACTGCACTGACATGTTGCTTTGCTGCTGGAACATTTTGGGATGGAATGAACTACATTTCTGTGTTCTTGAAGGCATTAACAAATTGAAAAAGTCCTTTTTGGGCGTGGCACACTGTGCATGGCACAGCTGTGAAGGGCTGATTTTCCCAGATGTGCTTGATGTGTAACCAAAGGCTAATTGCATTGCTTGGAGCCAACCACGGCCCTTGTACATCCTGATCTGTACTAGGAGGAAACTGAGGATAAATATGGTTATATTGAGTAGCTAAGTCTGAAATGACCTCCATGGAATGGCGCTGTTTGGTGCAGAACTTTTTGTGCCTTCATGTAAGATTGGTCGGTCATACAAGAGACTTTTAAGACTGGTTCTGTGGTGATCCACAGAAGCAGTGGTATATGGGGTCTATAAACCATATTTTGGAGATGTATAAGGAGTTCAGGTTGTTCTGCAGCATCTGTAAACTCATCTGGAAATTTCCCATTGCTGTTCACTGCAGCATGAACAGGGGAGTCATGCTGTTGCAATTCTATCCTGCAGTGCTGATATTAGCTTGCATGCACTCGATGCAGGTAACAAAGTGGTGATGATGAGTATACTGACTCATTGCAAGCAAACTTCGGTCAGTATTTTGTGTGAAAAACTATTTGGTTTGATACCCCTTCATCTCTGATGGTGCTGTTGGTCTTGGAGGCCTCTTTTTTTCTCTTTTAGCAGCATATATTAAGCACATTTCTCTACTAGGGTCAGGAAGTCATTTCCTGGATGAGTGACTGAAATGCGGCTCATGAGCAGCTTTTTTTCCTTGGTGGTCCTGTAAACTGTGGATTTTATATTGAATTTTCCTGCACCATTAAGTAGCATCCTGATCATGACACCATTATTTAATCTTCAGTTTTTCTTGGAGACACAGGAAGTTTGAGGGCTTTGTGTCACTCTTGCTGGGTGCCAGAAGAAGTGTGGTACAAGTCTGGAATAAAACAACAGCTGTGCTGATGCAAAGCCCATGCAAACACAGCAGGTCTGACACTGGCCTATGTTTAAACTGAGCTGAACTAAATTAGAGCAATGGGGCATGCAGATAAACAAACTGGGAATTCTTTAGAGCAGTTGAAAGATCACCAAAATGTGAAGCACAACTTATATAGAGGATTTGTGTTGGTTTTTTGTTTGTTTGTTTGTTTGTTTGTTTTTGAGGAAAGGTATTTTTACACAAGCTTACCCTGGGATGGAATGTTTCTTTAAACACAAACATGGGCTGTGCAGTGCATGGCTAATTTTCACACAGTAAAGAACTGCATTGTGTAGGTACAAGTTTACTAAGTGTGCAGCAACTCTGTTTAGGATGAAGCAAATCTCTGTGTGTGGACAACCTCATAAAACAGTCTAAAATATCCTTATTTGGGTGTATTGGCACTGATGAAGTTTCCAGCTATAAAGTTGGGTTGTAACAAATGGTGTTTATTGTTTGGAGTTTTTTTAAGTATTGTTATTTTCCCCCAGGTTACAACAAAACTTTTACAGTTTCTCTAGAAAGAACAGAATCTCATCAATTGAAGGAAGTGGCTTTTATGAATCTTGGTAGGTTACTTGGGTTACTTCCCTGTGTGATTGCCATTCTCTGTCCCTGGTAGGGAGACAAATCACTAACCCTTCTCTAGAAGGAAAGGATTTTTTTTCTTGACTTTAAGTACTTATGTTATTTTACTGCTTTTTTTCTGCTTAGCTTTTATATTTGGCATTTGATATTGCAATACCTCACTTTGGGGAAGCAGCTTCCTCTGAAATTGCCTCAGAATCTGCTCTGGACATCAACTGCTGAGTTCTTGAGTGTCTCAAGTCTCTTGAATCCTCCCCTGGAAACCCAAATGTACCACTAGTGTTTCCTGTGTTAATACAACAGCAGCTTTTAATTAACTCCCTTTATACTTCCTAGATATAATCAATTCTACCACAGAGAACTGGGCCAAGATGGGAATCATGTGAAACAGCCTCTTAAAGCAAATAAGGGATCAAGTGCTAAATTGACCACTGTTGTTTCTTTAAATAGACTATTATGTGGCTGCTTATTTGCCTGGCCAGTTCCTGCACCTCCTGAATATCCGACATCCCGACCTGCTGTGCCATAGTTTATTTCTGACAGGTATAGTAAGACTGCTGCTCGAAATAATTTTATTGTGGTTGTGGAAGTTTTTTCAAACGTCTTTACATGAAAGTTGTATTTCTCAATGTTTCCTTTATTGCACAGTGTTCTGAAGAAGGAGGGGTACTGAAAAAATAAGAATGGCATTTTTGCCACTTTCCATTTTAGAAAGAAAAGATGAAGTGACATTTCATACTTCATGTATTACAGATTTGTAGCTTATTATGAAATGGTAGAAGACCTTTCACTGAATTTGAAATTCTCTGCCTTGGTTTCATAGTTTCCCTTCCCCCATCTTTGCACATGGTTCTTGGTCCTCCACTGTTCTCAAATTTCACATGGAGATGTAAATTTGATTTTACATTTCCTTCCTCCAATTGAGTTGCTCTAAATGTGTGTGTTTGGAGGGTGTGGAGAGAGGAAATCTGTGTTTCCTTCACCTGATCAGGCTGATGCAATTAAATTTAGAGTCTCATCTGAGAGGCACATTATTCCATTTCCAATAAACATGTCCTTATGGGAAGTGGTTTATTTTTGGAAGTGGGGTGCCTTTGTTTGAAAACAGAAATCTATTGTTCTGATTGGGTGAAGGAGACTGTGGAAACTGGTGCAGGGGCAGCATCACAGGAAGCTAATACCTGTTTTATATGGATAATGAAATCCTATTCTGCTAAAAACGAGTGGGAAGCATCACTGTTGTGTGGTGGGCCTGATCCCTCTGATGGAAAGGGTCTGAAATATGGTACCTGTACAATACCATAGTGGTGAACCTTAGTACTAACATAAATGAAGTGGTTTCGGTCTGATGCTTCAGTGAGTAATCACAAAGCAGAACCTTCCTGTTCTGGCCACTGTGACTGATGGCAAGAGATCGGAGAGTACAAGTTTGTATCATGATTCTGCCTGTGAGCAGTTCTGAACTGTACCAGTGGTACCAATAGGTGCTAACTCTAGTGCTGAACTTGTACTGCTGGCCTTGTGCCCTTCTCTGTTCCATCATATGTACTCTGCTTTGCCTCAAGACAGCACTGTGAGCCTTGAATCTATGCACCTTCTCTGTGTGAGCAGTAGGGAGGGAGAGAACTGAGTATGGACTGTATTCCTTATCCACTTCCTGTATTCAGCCAGCACCATTTCTCCTCCTCTTCAGCATAAAAATACCAGGGCAGCTAGTGCAAGAGGCAGACTGTTTCTTACTGCTGGGAGTCTTAAGAGAAATACTGGTAGCAGCCGAATTTTATGTTCTTACTCCTTTTTGTTCTCAAACCAATGTTCTTCAGGTGAGGATGCAAGAATTGACACATTACAAAACTGTTCCATCCGATCCCCACTCGTGTCAACAGTTTTGGATTGCAAAGCAGGGAGTCTGTATGCTGTGAACATCAGTGACAGCACCTTGCTGCAGCTCCTACAGAGGAGCAAACAAGACAGTGAGAGATTGGCAGCCCTGCATTGTGCCCTGCTCTACTTCCAGCACACTGAAGATTTGGAAATGCAGGTGGGAAAAGAGCCTCCTCTAATTTTGTTTTCAGTGACTGATGGTTTCATGAAGCAGGGTCAGGGCATGAATGATATCAGACAAAGAAAAGTCCTGATTCACATGGACCTTTTGGCAGTGCCAGGAGGCTCATCAGCTGGGCTGCCCTAAACCCCTTTATTGGTCTAGGCTGTCCTGAAAACCACTTGTATCTGCATCACTACTTCATGGCAAGTGTTACTACCAAACCCAAAATTTTATAGTCTCTTACAACATATTCTCAAGCAGAGAGCTGAGACAAACTCCCTGGTCTCTTTCTGACAGATTATTCAGTGGATTTCTGAGAACCTGTCGACATGTCATTCTTTTGACCCCATTCAAGAATTTATCATCGGTAGGTATTTTTTTTCCTGCATGCTCTAGTTGTCACTGAAGGAGAAGTCATGATGTTACAAACTCTCTTATTTCCAAACTTTTTGGTTATGATTTATGTTAACTGACCTGCATTTTATGGTGTTGAGAGACAATATCAGTAGTTTAGAAGATATACAGATATCTCCAAATCAGAGTGGCAGTAAAACTTTTCAAATACATTCTTCTTCTCTCTAATGGGACAAATGGATTTATCATTGTTTTAGGTCTCCAGAGACTAGAGCTGAGGAACAAATCTCCTCTAGCCTAGCTCAAACCCTTTTTTTGTAAAGATTTGGCATATCATGATATTCTCTTCTAGTAGCCGATTCCTCAGTCTAGCCAGTGCGCAGTCTTTGTACAAAGGACCCCTGCAGTGCTGAGCTGTAGCCAAGCAGCTGACCCAGCCCTGCAGCCATCTGGACTTCTCTTCCTCCTTTTGTGCGCAGAATGGGACCAGTTCCACCATGGAGGAAGCTGTTTCAGTGCAGCAGCAGGATTTGTCCCCCAAAAAAAACTGTCAGATAATGAACTATGAAGCCTACTCTTGTTAACTGATAGTTTATACCATCTTACCCTTATAAGTGTTTTTACATTGCATTTAGCCTCCCTGTACTGCAGATTGTGTCCAGAAACTCAAAACCTGGATAAACTTTTGCCCTACACATCATTGCTTGACTGGATTGGGGTAAGATAAAAGCTGGTGCTTTGATTGGTAGTTAGAGGGTCTGTTTTTTCTCCTTTAATATGGCTTTTAACTTGTGTGTCTTACCTTGTCATAGATATGCTCTAAATCAATATCTGTGCTTTATGCCTGTTTTAGTTTGCCAAGTCTTACCCTTTGTGGTGTTTTCCATAAGTAAGGTTTTTTACAACAAAAGCATTTATAAAACAAGAACAGCTGCTATAATCAAATAGATAAGTAAATATCTCAGTTTTCATAATGAAGTATTAATTTATTCTGTATCATATGGGGTTTATAATGAATACAGAATACATTTAACAGCAAAATCATGCAGATATTTCCAAGACAAACAGTATCAGTAGAGTTAAGATTTATGAGTAAGCTTGCAGAAGTGTATAAAATAACTTCAGGCAAGACTTTACAATTAGAGTAAATAACATATTTTAATTTCTCTGATCAGACACTGTTCTAATATGTTGTCTTTTTTAAAATGAGGGTACAGTTTTGGCTAGCTAGCTACTTTCACAGAGAAAATGGATTGTAGAGATTCACCTAGATCCCAAACAGGCCCATGTTCTATGCCAAATTATAAGACTATAAATAATTTGTCCGTATTTCTAGGTTGTCCCTGGAGTAATATGTGCAACAGACATTATTTCACTACCTGTGTTAGAGGTAAGTTCCAATACAAAACCATTTTGTATTTGCAGATTAGGAACTGCTTTTTTTGTGGGAGAGGGGTGTGCTAAATACTAATGAAGCAGTGTCCCTGCAGCCCTATCCAAATTAAGTTATGAAGAGAAAATTGCCCTATGCATTTACTAAAATATCAGTTATTCAGACTGATGCTTGCTAGCTCAAAGATGTATTTTTAATTCCCTTTCTGAAGACACTTCTATTCAACAGGGAGGATTCTCCAAGAATTAATCTTGTTGGATCTGATTGATACCACTTTGTTTTGTGACTTGGGTAGCTGAAGGCTGAGTTGCCGTTGACATAACAGACACACAGGATTTCTATGCCCACTTGAGGGATTTTTCATTGTGCTGCCATTGGTATGAATGGTTTGTGACCCTCTCACTTTGTTTTGTCTGGAGCATCCTGTGATTGCACTGATGTCAGGGCTTTGGCTACTAAATCTAGACAAACTCCTGCACAGCCTGGAAAAGGCAATGAGCTGGATGGGGAGAGCACACGCTGTTTGGGTAGGAAATTGTACTTTCCGTTGAAAACAACATGAATGATTCTTCCCGTCTTCCCATTCCGCTCCCTCAGCTCCAGTTTAGAGAGATACTTAAAATTTTCCTAAGTATTCCTGTACAAAATCTGAAATTTTAATAAGCAGTTTGTTGTGGAGAGCTAATGGGAAGAGTTAAGAGTTTAGACACAATAGTACCAGCAACACATGGGATTACTCTGGATACATGACAACATTTGTTCAGTCTTTAAAGGGGTGAGAGTCTGTTTCTTTCCCAGTGCTTATAATTAGTCCTAAAGCTTCACCCTTCACAAAATTTTTTAAAAGTCAGTGAAATAGTCCACTGCTTGCTCACTCTGCAGCAGTGCATTACAGCTGTGCTGCACAAATTTGTGGGGTTCCTGGTTCCTCTCAGGGAATCAGGCTTTGTGTGCTTTGATTGGGGAGGTTGCCCTGAGAGCTGGGACACCTGGGAAAATCAGCTCTTGAGAAAATTTGTTGCTAGATAATCCGTGTAATTCACTGAGGTCAAAGTTAGCAGGCCTTTAATTTGTCTGAGATTGAACCTCAATCCCCTGGGGGCACATGCCTTTAGCAGCTATACTTCCTGATTGTGGAACTCATTTCCTATTTCTGTCTGAAACCTAAACAGATTGAAAAGGTCAGAGTTGAACTAATGACAAATATTTCCTGCTACTTTTGACTGCATTTGCTCTGACTCTTGCATGAGGACAAAGATGGTAATACACAGGGTAAGGTTTAGTGCTCTGACTGCTTTGTAGCACTTCAGCGTCACAAACCCACCATGGCTCAAGTTCAAGTGATCAGTTGCTGTTTCAGGTGGTGCATGTTGTTGGTATCAGGAGTCAGACCCTGGTGATAGATCTGGTCCTACAAGTAGTATTTCTTCTGCAGACATTTTATGGCATTTCACAGACAGAATGGTGAATTGTTATTTTGAGAAGATTTTCTGGAGTTTTTGAGCCTATGAGTTGTTGAGAGCCTTTGGGAAGACTATGTCCACATTCACAAAAAAATTTGGATATCAGTTGTGTTTTTATCACTAAACTCCTGTTCAGCAAGATATATATTGAGAGAGTCTGGGAGAAAGGGGGAACGGTCAGTCTAACTGTCAAAAAGCTTTACATAAGGATTGCAATTAATAAATCTGATTTCCTCCTCCCCCCACTTTTATAAACAGAAACCAAACTTGAAGAGGTGCAAACAGGCTTGATCAGAAAGGGAGAAGGAAGGGGCGGGAGGAAGAAGGGAAGAAAATAAAATAGGAGGAGGTCCAGGAGAACAGAGAATGTAAAAATAAAATAGGAAGAGGTCCAGGAGAACAGAGAATGTAAAGTGCAAGAAGTTGTCAGAGCAAGGAAGAGGCAGCCTCTCCTGCAGGCTGCACTGAGCCACTGGGGTGCAGAGTGATGTTTTAAGGAGTAGTTGCCTGTGTTACACAGCTCTCTGAATTCAGTCACTGCTGGGGAGACACAGCACTGCAGTGCAGAGGGGACACGGGTCTCTTGGAGGTAATTGTTCCCCTACACCTTTTCAAAGGGTAGAGCAGAGAGCTCTCTATCTTCAGTTAAAAACCCACTACTTATGAAAGGCTTCATGGGAGCTTTTCATGGATTGCAACCTGCTGAGGCCTTGTTTTGACTTCTGCCAATACAACATCTTCTAGGTGTTTGTGCTTAGGTATGCATTCTTGACTCTAGAAATGCCTGCAAAATAAACACCTAAGAAGAGGAAGCCTTCTCTTTTTAGTCCTTGCCCTGATGATCCTCAAGAAGCAACTATAATTAAAAAAATCCTTTATTTTAAACTTTTGACTTTTTAATTAGATCTAATGCAATGCAGGTTTTCAGAATTAAAAGCAGACACCACTGAAGTCTACCACTTCCTGTTACAGATTTAGTACATGAAAGAAAATTGCTGCCTTGCTTCTCACCGCCACATATCAAAGCAAGTTCAGTATGGCCTGAACACAGTTTTGCAGCGGTGGTGCTGCCGCAGTTGCGTGGATTGGTCACTAGATGATACCCTTTTGCTGTATTTGATAGTTCTCAGGTTTCATATTGGTAACATTTAGGCAGCATCCTGCAGTACTAGAATCTCATAAGATTGTAAGAGCGTAGATCTCACAAGTCAGCTCCAGCAGAGGGAACATATTGTGCCATATGCACTCCTAGTTTGCAGCTGCTAAATATAACTTAACATGAAGCAAAACCCGAGATTTATTTTTCTCTGCTGCAGCCACAATAATAAAGTGACAATAGGCACTGGCAGCAAGAGGAAAGTAGCTGGCAAGATTGAGTCTTTGGAATTTATTTTCCTTGACAAATTGTAGTTTATAGTAGGAAGTGGTTTCTTCCTTCCGAGGTTTTCTTTTAAAGTTATTGTAGAAAAATAGAGGGGAGAGAGGAACATCCAACATGTTAATGCAAGATGGAGAAATCCTGTGAACTCAAACTTATCTTTATTCAAATGTCGCTACTATAGTGTCAGTATTGGGAGATAATTGGGAGAGGGGCAAGAACAGATAGTACCATCTCTTGTTTTTTTAAAACTGCCAAAAAGATTTGCCTTAATCTCATCTCTTCCTCAGCCATGATCACATCTCCCCCCTTTATAAACAACAGCTTCAAATCTTTATACCCAGTCCAAGAACTACCTCAGGAAACCAGTGTGGTTTTGTTTGGTTTTTTTATCTCCTGTCTGTTCACAGCTGAGTTTAAATTAATTTTAGCATTAGAGTCAAATGCTTTAGAATTGATATGAGAATGTTTGGATTTAGTTTCTTTTCTGGGATAAGGCACTGATTTTGAGGTTGGTAAATGGATGTTAGCAATCTAAATATTAATGCAGCTTGAAAATAGTGGCAGCCTGCAGCTGTCGGGGCCATGGTGGTATTCATCTATTTGGAACTACCAGAAACCCAGAATGGGATTTATTTGACCAAATGTAAACATTTGTATCTATGTTAGTTGCCTAAGGCTCCTTTTACAGTCAGAGGAAGTCTAGACAATATGGCCAGTGTAGTCTGTGGTGCAGTTCTTCCCATCCCAAACCTATGAAATGGGTCAGATGAATTACAATACAGAAGTACTCATTCCTTCCTAGTGACTTAAAAGGATACTGAGGTGGCAAAGTATCTACACTACAGGCACCAAGTCTTGACCTCAAATTTAAGTAAGTGCTACCCCTGCCATGAATCAAGAGAAAGTTTAGCTGCTTTAGTTTAACTTTTTTCACTTAGATTGGTCTGAAGCTACATTAATCACATGTCTTTGCAGTCACTTAGTGAGAGGGTGATGATTCTTTATGAGTGCAATCTGTATTCACGATTTCCCTGCAATACTTTGCAGTTCCAAAACCCCAAAGGCTTCTGGGAGAAACTCAACTCAAACTTGGAGAGTGTGAAGTATTCAGAGCCACACTTGCACTACCACAATAATGTGCTCAGGAGGGAATGGCGTAACCTTTCAGAAGAGGTGAGTGTGTGTGCACTGAAACAGCCTCCAGAGCTGCCTCTGAAGTGGGTGTTTTAAAGCCGAGCATGGACGAGTTGCCTCTTTTAATTTGAAGATAAAGAAATTGTAATTCGACTATGAGAAGTGCAAAGACTTGCAGTCACGGCGCTTAAGGTGAAGTTAAGCCTGTAAATTTGACTTTCTAAATGCAAGAAATTAAACTAAAGCAGAGCTTGCACTATATTGTCGTGTGGATTAGATGTGTGTGAGTGCCTGTGAGTGTGGATAGTTGAAAGGTGGGTTGAAGTTCCACTGTGCATTATTTCCATTCAAAGGGAAAAATAGCTTAATTTCTCATCTGCATTCTGTCAGGGAGCATTTTAGTTGGTCTTCTGCTTTGTTCATTTGTGGATTTTTGTTTGTTTATAAACCAGAGAGAAGAGAGACGAACCACAGCGTATTTGAGGAATATTTTTGAAAATGCTAAAAAGTAAGTACTGGTTTCTATTGTATTTACCCTTTCTTACTTTGTGCAAGAATGTTGGAGGATTTAGTGAGTAATTTCATTAGTTGGTTAGGTATCTGATTAGATACCTTTAAGGAAGATTATCCAGGTGAAAATCAGTTACTGGAGTCCTTGCAATCACTATGAGATGATCTGAAATACACACAGGCTTCTAGAGCTAGGGAATTTATGATAGATATGAAGAGTTATTCTTATGCAACCTAGACAGATATAATTTTTTTAATGCTATCTAGTATTTTTACTAAATGTAATCACATGTACTGTTCTCATTTTTCTTTAGCTGTCTTTGAAAGATCAAAGATTCATTTAAGTGTTCTTATGACCTTATGAAATCCTGTAGAATAATGCATATGAAACACACTGATTTTTGTTTCAAACCCCAGGGTGCTTTCTCATCTAGACACTTGGGACTCTGGTAAGTAAAACTTGTCTTGATGTAGGCCTTAGCTGTAAGGTTTGTTTTAGTATTTCCATCTAGCTGTTGTTTGCTAAGAATAAATTGCTGTATGTGTTTTTAGCACAGAAGAGTTTGAGGAATTAAGATAAGCAGTTATTAAGTTGGAAGAAAACTTTCATGTACTGACTAGGAAATGCTTGAAAATAAAGTTCCAACTTCATATTGGATCTAACAAGATAAGCAGTAAAACTTTACCTGCCTAAGGATTTTCTTCTTCAGTGACACCGTGTTACTGTTGAGGTTTTGTTTGCTTACAGCTGCCTTTGCAACAATCAGAACTTGTGCAGGAGATTAGAGTTGGTGAAAAATCATGGTGTAGAAAAGGCAGATGTAATTAATTTCCCTAGGCCAGCAGCACTTGAGATTGTGTCATGCTCAATTCCTCTGTCGCAAATAAGTAAAACTGAATTTAGTAGTGAACTGTGTTCCTGCTCTTCACACATCAGTGCCTTCTGTGTGCCCTGCCACTGTGTGCTCTGAAACAGTGCTGATCTAAGTCCTTCTCTCACCTTTTATTACCATGAATTTTCAGTGCACTCATTTCTAGCCCCTAACACCAGTCATCTGTGCCACTGCTAGTTATTGCAGTGGGCTCTGACTTTAAGGGGCCTCGTATTAACTTAGTGAGCCTCAGCTTCATGCTTTCAGAGGTGCTTACTGATGAAGCAGTCGGATGTTTAACTGTTAATAAAGAATTTCTAAATAGCTGCCAGCCAGTAACAAGCATCAATGTAGTGCGTCTTCCCTGTAGATTTGTCCTCAAGTCCCTTAAAGTCAAGCAGCACAGGTGCTGCTAAGTGGTGAAGTAATTATATTTCAAGGTGAGCAAAAATAGCTGAATATTTGTAAAAAAATAGTGCTTGATCCTATAAAATGTTGACTTGGTTTTATGCTACATGATGAAATAGGAGATTGTTTTTCTTCCTTTGCTGTTTGTAGACAGGAAGCACTGATTAGGAAATACAGGTTATTATTTTTAATAGATACTACAACCTTCTTCCTTTTAGTTAGAAAATTGTGTTCTTTTCATAATGGTCTGCAAATCTGAGTAACAGGAGCCACACCATGAGAGAGAGCCAGGAAAGTGGGATGTGATTCCCTGGAGTATTTCCTTCCTGTCTAGCCGTTTCCTTGGAAAACCCATGCAGCTGTTTGAGCTTGTTTGTTTGTAAATGACGAGATCTAAATAGCACATGCACTTGCACTGGTGTTACCGGAAGGTTCTCTGTGCCTCTTTGCTCTCTTGAGTCACCACACTGTGACAACTCTTAAATATGAAAGGAAAGAGGAAGAGAGCAGATAAAGGGTGATTTTTCCATTTCTCATTTCTCTTATGCAGCCCATGATTCTTCACTATCTTAGTTCTGTAGCTGAGCAGATCAAACCACAACTTCTGTTTGTTTGTGTGTGTTCCTAAGCACTTTTGAAGCTGGTTGAAGTCTCGTGGTATTTCTGTAGTGTCGTGTCCTTGCATGATTCTTGCTCTGTTTGTTTCAGAGGCGAGGCTGGTCCCTCTCTTTGAAGAGGAGGATTATCAGCAGCAATTACTGATGGGACTGGTATGTGCTCTTGTCAGTGTGCACTAGGGGACGCACAACCTCCACAAATTTATTAAGAGTGAGCTTCTACGTTCCAGTGCTGAGTTCAATCTCACCTAGAGTAGCTATGGGGCAAACATAGTTCCTAAGCTTTAGAGTTCATAAGTTATGATGTCATCTTAAAGGTCATCATAAGGCATAGGAGAAAAATAGCAATGGAAAGTTGATTTGTAAATATGCTTTTTCCCAATACAGCTTCAGCTAGAAACTGTTGTTCTGTCTTCCTGGAGTTCATCTTAATCTGTCAGTTCTTTTTGGACTGTTTGGCATCTTTAAAACATTAAAGATTGCAGATCTTCTTGCTTCTCAATTTAACAACTTTTTTTACTGTCTCCTTTCTACCTCACTGCTGGGACTGCTTCATCTTCTCCATTGTTTTCTGCGGTGATCTCTCTAAAAGATCTACCATTTATGTGCTTATGGGCAATATATCCTGTCTCAAACCCCTACCTGTCCTACCTCTGTCTAAATACACATCTTTGCTTATTTCTTTTTCTCTTACTATTAAACCCAAATGAAACTCTTCAGCATGCACTGGAAGACCTCACCACTGCATCTGTGAAGAGCATATCAACACTGTCCTGCCTGTTCACATCTGAGGCAATTTTTCCTCCTTTTCAGTCTTGTCATCTTGTTTCCAAGTCTTGCCTCTCATTCTCTGAAGCTTCTCTGCATTCCTTCCCTGCTATTTATTGAGACAGATCCAAAAAGCAGGTCACTGCTGTACTTTGTCTATGCCTTCCTCATACCTATGTTGCTGTCTTGATACATTTGAGATGAATCTACATGTAAATTCCTTGAGACAGAGATTTTTATTTGCTCCAGTTTTACTCTGAGCTTTGAAACAAATAATGCTTCTTAGTAATTCTCAGCAAGAGCCAGCATGGATTTGAGTTGCAATCTGAAGCCATGTGAGGTCAGCGAATATTTCAGAAAGGAGAGGGTAGGGAGTGGCATGAACTGTATGATAACAAACACCCTATTTTAAAGACTTTACAATTAATGTTTAACCTGAAATTGCTATTAATCACCCTGGTACTCAGGTTCTTGGCTACTACCACAAACTGTACTTGAGCTAGTTTTCTCTGAGAGATTTTATGTAACGCTTAGATTCTCTGGAGCCAATGATCGTATTTAAATCCTTCTTTCACCCTGTTCACTTGGCTTGACACAGAGAGATGTAAGAACTGTAAGCTTTTTCTCTTCAGTGTCACTGAAAGTTCAACCTAGCACTCATTTTGCTGAATTTGCACCAAGTAACAGTCTTGAATATTCTCATCTGCTGTTGAGTTTAGCAAGATTGGACAGTAGCTTGGGATCTCACTCTGAACTGGAGTTTTGTAATGCAGAAATATTTTGTTGAGTCAATGCCTACTGATGTGACCCTGCACCTGCTGCTGCTTTTGTGTCTCTTTGAGGATGCTTAAGGACACTGAATTTTACCTTTTTTTTTTTTTTCTAGATGGTTGCTCAGCTAAAGGATCACCTTATGAGACATCTACAGTATGTAGGAAAAAAAAAGATTGACCAAATAGTTTTGGATTACGTTGCAAACCTGGTTAGTTGGATTTCATAATCACTGTTTTGAGTAAGCATGCATTTGTTGGATGGTAGATCCTTGGGTATGTAGGATTTGTATATATATGTATATATTTGATGGGAGGAGGTTGTTTTTAAGATATTTAAACATATTTTTCAGCTTAATATTGTGTATATTGATAAAGGAAATGCATAATATTTATTTAAGTATTTTTAAAAGAATTATGCTGATCACTCAGAATACCAAAAAAACTGTTCTCTTTTCAGCTTGTACAAATATGTTCTACTCCCAGAAATGAAAATGGGAGCTCATCCTGAAAGTTCAAAGAATGATCATTAGATCTATTTAGTTTCCTTTAGAAAACATTGCTTCAAGTCCTGAATAATAGAGGTGCCACCAGGGGAAATAAAAATTGATTAAAAAAGGATTTCACTGCAATGTGACACGTGGGTAAAGCAGCACAGCTCCTATATACTGCCTTCATTGGGCTTTTTGTGTGACAGGAGACAGAGTTTTGCATTAAGAGATCTGTGTAAACTACAGTGAAAATTTTTCTGTCTTTCCTCCTCTTAAGAGAAACTTTAAAAAAAACAACAGCTCTGAAACCTGTGACTGTTGTGCACTGAAATTATTGTACCTGGTTTTGTTTGTCTCAACATCACGTTCTTTAAGCGCAGGACACAGTTCACAAAAGCTCCTGTGGCAACTACTAAATCCTGTTCTTCGTGCAAGCCCTGCCACAGTGTTCAATAGAAACTCCCCACAGTGCTGTTTTCTGGGAATGGGAACCTTGGGAAACTTTCTTGAGGCTACTGATACCTGCATCTCTTCAGAAGGCCTGTGCAAGTCAGCTCTGCTGTCAACCTTACGAGGGTCTCTGAACCGCTGCAGCTTCACTGCCATTACTGACTTTTCAGGCCTCACTTCGTAGTTTGACAAGTTATTTCACTGGTGATTGGCAGGCTTTTCTGCATCTGTGTGGGAAAGAAGAAAAAACTAGTGTCTGATTAAAATAGGAACAGTACAACATGAACCGAAGCTTTGTACCTGAAAATGGTGGTAAAAAAGCACAAGTGGAATGTTTATTCTCCTTTCATTCGATTTCTAGTAATAGTTTGTTCACTTTTAATAAAAACTTAGGATAAAAAATATGAAAACACCCATACAACCTTGATCTGCAAGACTAAATTATTGTAGACTAAACCTTGCAAAATAAACCTCAGCCCTCCCCAGTAGCGATTAAGTTAATCTCAGGATTCATTTTTTTTAATGTCACTAACAGTAAGAATTCTCTCCACTCAGTTGACAGGCTTATTCTTAGAAAAGCTACAATAAACAAAGATAACCCTGAGATTAGCTCAGTTGGTTACAGCGTGGTGATAATTACACCAAGGCCATGGGTTTGATCTCTGTATGGTCCATTCACTCAGAAGTTGGACTTGATGATCCCTGTAGGTCCTTTTCAATTTAGAATATTCTGTGATTCTGTAATAATGTGTCTCTGAAAATTGCTTCTGCCCTCTGGCTGGTACATGTTAGGTACTGCTTGGAACACTTTAAAATCATGTCATTGTAAGACTGGGGTTTTCCCTCCTCTTAATCAGAAACTATTACATCTTAAACCTTTATGTATCCTAAATGTTTGAGTTCTTCAGGGGAGTGATTTTGTTTGAGTCTTCCAACAGTTATTTGTAGCATCAGCAGCATTAGGCTGAGCTATTGAAACTAGTGAAACAGAAGAGACTTGAAATTATTTGCCTGTCTGTTTGCCGTCATAAAATATTTTTTTATTATGTTCAGGAGCCCAGGAGTGGCTCAGAGTAGGGCTGTGTGGTGTATAGTCACTGTATAAATCAGTTACAGCTGAAGTCAGAGTAGCCAAGACCTGGGAGCACTGACAGTTCCTCATAAAACAACAGGCAAGGGCTGGTTGCTGTCAAAGAGCTGGGTGTTCTCTATACAGAGAAGTAACGTAGGGAAGTGTGACTGGCATGTCTTGGTGGAAATTCCTTGTTTGCCAGTGTGCCTGGTTCCCATCCCATGTACCACCTCACCTGCAGTAGTTTTTTGTGTGTCCATGGTCTCTCTCTCTCCTGCAATTACTTTATCTTGGCTTTACTGCATATCTGTTCTTCCACTCTTTGCATTTCAGTGAGGCGGGAAAGGGGAGAAATAACTTACAGAAGCAGCGTGACATTTGCTGCCCTGACAGCAAGTGGCAGGGGAGGCAGGGTGAACAGGCAGCTTGTGGCACAGGAAAGAGACAGACCTGAATACACCTGCTCTGCAAGTCACTGCAGCACCTTTCCCTCTGATGTCTGTGGCCGTTTCCTTCTGATGTGGGCTCAGCTGCAGACGAATAGAAGACAGACACCATTTGGATTTGAGTTTCCTCAGCAGGAGTTGTCATATTCCCTGTGTGGGAGGGATCTGGAAGGCAGCAAGACCTTCTCTCACTCCCTTTTCTCCTTTGCTCCTGATTCCTTTGCTCCTGATTCTTTTTTTTGGCTGCTCCCATGTCTTTGCTATAGAAACAGCCACAGGAGATGAGCAATTGTGGTTCCTAATTACTTTAGTGGAACTTCACTCTCCTTGTTCCAGGCGGCACTGCCTGGAAATGCAGATGTTTCAAGGCAGCAAGGACAGCACTGTCAGCCTCGACCCTCCAGCATGCACTGTCTCACTGTTGGTCACATGTTCTCTCATCAGTTTAGAGCACTCCAAGGGAGATGTCTTCTGGTACTTCCCCCAAAAAACTTCATATTGTGTGTTCTTGTTACTCAATGAAAAATAGCCTTGTCTGGTATGGGTGTAGCTCTTAACTTGGTTCCCCCAGAGACCCTCTGCTAACCTTGGACAGGAAACTGCCTGTGCTCCCTCTATCAAACAAAAAATGTTTCCTTTCTCTCATGAACATTATCCTGTGTGTTATATTGTGGAAAAAAGTTTGAGACATGACTTCTGTTTCTGTATGTGTTTTCTGCAGTGTCCATGCTAGATGTTCATCTCCAAAGCAAGTCATGCTATTGGTGAAGGTGTCACATCCAAAGCATGCATGTATTTAAGATTCAAGTATGTTGTGATAGCAAGGTTGACTATGACTTAAGAAGTTATTATCTTTCTATACCCTGTCAAAGCCATACAGTGTGCTATGATATTAAGAAAAAAAATATTCATTCTGGAGTATCACTCTTCTGAAAAACATTTTTGTTGCACAAATAATAAGTGGTGATTTTGGAGCTTAAAAGAACCCTCCCTTCCCTTCAACACATATCTTCAGATCCAGCTGCAGCTCACGATGCAGAGGCCTTAGCTGCACCCTGTGTGCTGGCCATGGGGGGAAAGTCATTCCAACAGCAGGTGCAGTTCTTGTGACCTTTACCTGGAAACTGGAAATCACTCATTTCCTGGAAAACTTGCTATACTCCAGAAAGATTAAACTGGATCTTTCCACTGCATCTAGAAAGTGTAGAGATGTAAAATATGAGGTGGTTATTTTGCATCAAGTAGCTGTGTAAGCCTGGCTCAAGTGGTGGTGGAGGGACAAGGTGTTGTCTTGTAGAGCTTTCTGGCCAAGGTACAGAGGAACACTGAGGAGCAGCACTGAAGACCAGTATTCCAGTTCTGGCCTTTGCACGTCAACATCTCCCATGTGTCCTGTTTCCCTCTTGCTCAAAGCCTCTGACAAGTTAGACACTGGAGAGGGCGAAGCCAATGAGGGAAAAAGAGAATGGGGAAAAAGGATTCCTGGATTATGGCCATCTGGAGCAGGGAAAAGGGTTTGGAACTTCTCGTGACACCTCTTTGCAGAAGAGGGGTCGGACTTGCTTCCTGAAAGTTTCCTGGGACTGATTGATTGCTGTGCTTTGAGGGCCAGAGATAAAAGGCTCAGAGGAAGTGTCTCAGTTGTGTTAGGGAGATATGGAAGTGGTTACACATGACTGCTGTGAGGAAGTTATTTCAGCTCTTTCGTGTGTGGTTTCTCTTTCAGCTGCAGAAGCTGAGATGGCCCAAGTGTGAGAACGGAGCTTGTGGCTTTGGTGTGCTGACTGTGTGTAGTGGGGGTTGGTTTGGGAGCACAAAGAAGCAACAATATGGGCCAAGGGATTGTTTTATTTCACTGTGGACAAAAAGGAAACTCAATAGAGGAGGAGAGGCATTTGCTTGTCTCATCTTCCTGCTTGCCAGGACTAGATTTGAGATTCCTCCTGCAGACTTTTCCTGGCAAACTGAGGATTCCACTGTCTTCAACATCATCCACTTTTGCTGAGCCCTTGGGAATGTTCCTTGCCAAATGCTCAGCCACTTGCTTCCGTGGCAAACAGATCTTTCAGAATTTGATGCAAAAGCAGGAGATGAGTTATCTCCAAGAGGCACCATGTGTTAAGTTGCTGTAGGTCTTGCACAATGCTTTGATGAGCTGGAAGCACTTTCAACTTCTAGAATATTGCAATACAGTTACAATTCAGATTTTAATAACTTTACCTTTTGAGCCCCTAGGGGGAAAAAAAAAAAAAAAAGAAGATTTAGTAGGAGTCCCATGAGAAGATTTTAACATAAACTGGTGTGTAAAATGAATGAAGGCCAAGGGCCTGCTGTATACAGGCTCCTGGTAACATCCAGTCTTTTCTTTGTTGTTTTAGCTGAATCTGATACACCGAATAATGAAAGAAGTTTGGAGGAGATACCAGCTTCATTCCTGTGTCTTCTGCTTGTGAGCAAGTCATTTGTTAAAGTTTTCAGCTTGCCTTTTAAAATACAGGCATAATGAGTTTGGTCTTCAACAGTACCACTGGTTTGAACAGTCAGTGCTTATGCTGCTGTGAATGTTGATGTGACTGTCACCTATTGTTCCTAATGATCCTGCTGGCCCTCTCTAAATTATTTTGAATTATTTTAAATATTAAATATTTTAAATTCAAAATTGCTGAGTTCATAGTCATCCTAAGCTGGGTAGTGCGTGTTAAACACTTGTAAAAACCAGGTCCCTTATACCAGCACCCTTTCATCTGTTGTTGTTGATTCCAGGTGCTGCTGAGAGACTTGCAAATATGCAGCAGTGGGGGGAGGAGATGGGGACACCAGAGCAACTTTGTGTGCCAGCACTGGGCAGCTGGTGCTGTTGGGTGACAGACACCTTAGTAAACAAGGCAGCATCTCCTGGCACTTCACCCCAAATGCAGGCATTTAGTGCACATGTAGTACAGCAAATTGACCATCTCTCCAGCAGAATGTGAGGAACACCTCAGGTTCTAAAATGTTGCTCCTTCATTAACTACAGTGATGAAAGAGGAAGTGCAGCAGAGTTTGCGGTGTTCCACATCATGAGTCGGATTCTGGAAGCAGCAAACGGCATGTGCATGCCTTTACCTCCTGGTAAGTCCTATGTTTTGTTGTTTCAGTCATAACTGAGGAGAGCAATAAATTCCTCCCTTGAGAGCACTGGTTGCAACATGTGTCAAGTTAGCTGTGGCAGTATTGAAATATAGTCAAGACAGTTACAGAGAAGGCCTTTGATAAACATGTGCAAGTGAAATGAAGCAAAAATAAATAATTTTTAGAAACAAAGACAAGACAGAGGTTTCCAGTGGAGTGCTTGGGTGCAATCTTACCTTAGAACTAAGATTTAGACTCCTTTCATTTCTGTATGCTTTTAGGAAACTGGAGTTCAGTATCTAGAGCCACAAGGGAAAATTCCTACCCTGGAGCAAAAAGAGTGTTTTTTCTCATGCTGTTGCTCTGCTTGTATTTTTACAGTTTTATCCTGAAAGGATTACCTCCAGACTTGATAGAAAAGTTGGTCTTGATAGTAGAATTTGATTTCCCAGAGCTCCCTGTAATCACTTATGGTCTTTTCAAAGGACTTGCTTATTTTTGTTAGGGAAAGACTTCTTAACATCTTAATCCTTTCTGATTCTGATTGACTCTTCCTAGTTTGTATTTCCTGATCTGTCTTCAGTCTTTGAAACTGTTTTTGGTATGAATTGTCGATCAGTCCATCTGGGCACAAACGCTGCCACGCAGTCATGTCATATGATAACAAGCCTGTCATTAACAGAGGCTGTGGGAGTGTGTGGGTGGCAGCCACATACTGAGGGTGGTGAGGCCTCAGGTTTTGATTAATCAGGAGGAAAGAAAGATATAAAAGACAAATTGATAAAATAATTCAGATATGAGGCAACAGCTTGGAGATGTTTAGTGACTCTATGACTTTGATGAATGTTTTCAGTCCCCTTGGCTTTGTTCTTTCTGATGGGATTGTCCTTGAGAGGACTCAGAAGATGCCTAAATAAGACTAAATGTCTTGATAAACTGATTTCTTCACCAACTAGGAACAGTCAGAAGTTAAGGGGAGTGATGGCTTTAGCTAGATTAATGCCAGTATCTAATAGAGACTTGGGAAAAAAAGCCCCATATTACATCAAACAACTTTGTTTCTTTCGTAGGTTTTCACACTCTGCACTTGGGTCTTGGTGTTCGTTGTCTCCCTCTGCACACCCTCCTGCACTACATTGATATTGGAGTCTTGCAGTTGACAGAAACGTGTGTCAGGAAATTGCTGAAAGGTACAGTGAGCATCAAGTGTTTCATTTGCTACCAGCCAACTAATTGGGAGTGTTGTCCTTCAAGCCACTCAGCTTGGACACAGGATTTATTGCCCAGGACACTCAGCTCCCCTTAGAGTGTTGTTTCAGTGAGGGCTGTAGCTGATGGTGTTGCCCACCTGAAAGGGCTCAGACTTCATGATTGGCCTTCTCATATTACACAAATAAATATCTGTTTGGAGAGAATTTGAGTTTATAGCTTTTCCACTTGGGACTTCTTAGAAAAGCAAACACTAAAGGTCATAATAGAACTGGAGAATTTTTGTGACTCTATGAAAGTGCACACCTATGTGTGAGGAATTTGGTCTGCTATTCAGTCCTCAGCTTTTGCTTTTGCTTTAATTTTGTTTGGAAGGAGAGGAACAGGCCTGTCAGTCTGACCTCGTGGCCAGGGATGGTCATGGAGCAGATCACCCCAAATGCTATCCCAAGGCGTGTGCAGAGAAACCAGGGGATCTGGCCCAGCCAGCACAGGTTTATGAAAGATAGGTGCTGCTTGGCCAACCTGGTCTCCTTCTATGACCTGGTGACACACTTAGTGGATGAGGGAAAGGCTGTGGGTACTGTCTACCTGGACTTTAGTAAAACATTTGACACAATTTCACACATCATTCTCCCATAGAGACTGGCTGCTCATGGCCTGGACAGGTGCACTGTTTGCTGGGTAAAATCTGTCAGGTTAGCAAGGCCCAGAGAGTGGTGGGGAATGGAGTTACATCCAGCTGGCAGCTGGTCACCAGTGGGGTTCCCCAGGGCTCAGTGTTGGGGCCAGGCCTGCTTCATATCTTTGTGGGCAGTCTGGACAAGGGGATCAAGTGTATCATCTGTGAGTTTGAAGACGACATTGAAAATTGGAATTTTCAATTAATTTCAGGGGTGATATTTATTCAGAATGTTTTCAATGACAGTTGAAAGTTTGTTATGTGGTTAATGATTGTTTGATTAGGTTTTTTGCCTGTTTCTTGTAGATCTGGACGACACTGAACAGAATGAAAAGCTGAAATTTAGTATTGTCATGAGGCTTCCTGAGGTAAGTAATGACTTGGATGTAATTTCTTGGACTTTGGAATTGATAGGAAGTTCCCCCTTGTGTGTAGGATCAAGCCAATAGAAGACTTGGCAGTGATTCAAATAGAGCCTGATTCAAATATAACCTGAACATCCACAGTTTCTCTATCTGCTACTCCTGGCTGTAGGATACCCTGATAACTTAAATTATAGATTAGTCCGTAGTGTTTTACAGTGTCTCCATGGCCCTACAGGAGTCAACAAGACTCTGCTGAGTACTTGTGTGCATAAAGCAATGAGGGTTTAATGGGGTTTAAAGGGGCTTTATGGGGGATTTGTGTGGGAGTTTTAGCATCCACAGAACCTTTCTCACTTGTGACCTCTGCGTTTGCTTCTATACACTTTATCAAATATGTTCAGAACAGTAAAAGCTGTAAAATCTGATAATACCACAGCTCTGTGGAGGAAACTGAATTATAAGAGATCTCCCCTCAGTGGAATCTCTCAGCCTCACCCATCAGTGACTTCTGTAGCCACACAGTAATTAGTTAGAACTAATTATTGGTGGTTCATAAAAAGTTCCTGCAGAATGAGAGATGGACTTCTCCCCTTTTGCTCTTAGTGCACACCACAGGACTGCAGAGGAAGCACAACATCTCAGTGGGCAGAGGAACACCAGGGATCCCCCTCAGGGAGTGCCAGGCTTTTCTTGACATAAGTTGCCCATTGTTTGCTCATTATGGGCTGCTACAATATAGTTCAAATGGCCAGAAGTGCCACTTGGGTTTTCCTCTAACAAAGGCTTCTTTATTTGGCAGCACTTTTGAGAAGGGGTAGAGGAGGAGAACTCCACAGGATGTTCTTTGTCCTCTGTGTCTTGTTCTGGGCCTGGGCTGGAGAGCTGGGGTCAGCCCTGGGCCTGTGGGTGGGGAACACCATTCCAGCCGCGCTCTGACGAAGGCTGAGCTGGGAGAGCTGCAGGGGACGGGTCCTGCTGGTTACACACAGTAGACTCAGTGCCTTATTGTATCTATTTACAGCTTTGGGAAAAAATGCAGGGAGTAGTTTGTTTGCCAAAAAGGTCACTTCGGGGTGACTCAGACTATTTTGAGCAGGTTACATTCAGTTGATGACTTCAGTTCCATCAGAAGCAAGGATTTAAGCACCATTGAAACTGTGCAGCATTTAGTCAAACAAACTCCTGCAGAAATCTGTGTTGCAGTACAGCTGAAAGGGAGCAGGGGAAGATCTAGATAGGGAAAAGAGCAGAAGGTGGAGCTGATTTCACAGTGTGTTCCTATTCCTTTGCTTGTTGGATAGAATTGGAAGCTTTGGGAAACATGGTTTTCAATCTCTTGCCTCTGGGAATGTGAGTCAATGTTATCAGTTTCCCAGATGATGACCTGAATAATGGGATCCTAACTGTGTTCCCACTATGTCTCCTTGTTGACATTTGGCTTGTGTAAGATTCCTGAGACTGAGCCTAAGAGAAGCCTTGTCCTGAGGAGCCCTGAGCCTCGAGGAATGGGGTATCTACATTATTCTTTGGGGGAAGAATAGATACCAACCAGAGTCACAGTAAAGGATTAGTGGTCATTTTAAGCCTCAGATGATATCTAAGTACACATTCCAAGTGGGACACTGGCACTGGAACAGACTAATTGAGCTGAGTACTGAGCAGTTTCACACGTTTAGGGAACATACAGAAATTTCTTAGTTACTGACTGTGAAAGGAAGGCTCCATGGCTACACATGATGCCATCTTGGCCTCTGTCATCAGTGTGGGAAAACAAAGCATCTGTGTTACAGCCTGTATACAGTTTCAGGTCTTTTCCTCCTTTTTCCCCTCGTAAGCTTCCACTGTCCTGTGTTTATCTTCTCAGATTTTGGGGTTTTGTTTTTTGCTTACTAGGCTCTTGGTCAAAAAGTCCGCCAGTTCTGGAATCATCCCATAAATGCAAATTTAATTGCACGGAAATATGTTAAGCTTTTGCTCGAGAACCTGGGAAACAGGCAGGTAAGGCCACAGAGGCCTTTTTTTTTTTTTTTCAACTTTTGCCTTTACAGTGTTGAGATTGCTGAGCTTTCTTTATTCTGTAACACACTGAAGAAACACTGAAACTTGGTACTCTGTGACTTGGTGAGCCAACTTGCAGTTTTCTCCCTTACAGTGCACCAGGTCTATCCCTGAGAGATTCTCAGTCCCTGTGGAGTTTTTGCCACTGAACTACCTGACGAGTATGTTGACAGAGATAGAGAATCAAGGTAATGTTAATTCTGTACTTTGATGCTCACTCAGATGTGTCCTGACTATACTGACATAACTTAGTTCTAAAACTCCAGTTATGTCTGAACACATAGGTTTGGTTGTCTTTCTGTTGATGGGAAGTGCAAGGGGGCTTTTCCACTCTGTATCTTTTCATCCAAATCCTCTTTGTGTTGGATTCAAATAGCAAACCTGCATTTTTCAGAACCCCTGTAGTAAAATGTGGTTGGTGTACAGCATGGCGGCAGCTGTTGTGTGTTCAAATGGGGACAGAGCAGTTTGGTCCTTATTCATGTTCTTTCTGGTAGCTAAGAGGCAGCCAAAATCTGATCTTCCACCTTAGAAAAGAGTACCCATATCCCTGGATTCGGAGGTATTCTGAAGTACCAGAGATTTTTCCTTGCCAAGCTGTTCATTTTTGTGAAGCACCGTTCCCACTGATGAGGGTCTTTGCTGACTGGAGGTTTTCAATTCTGCTGAACAAGCAAGGTGCACTAGGGGAGGCATTACTGGCTGAGCCTGTAACCAGTAAGCAAAATAAATTCAAGGGGGCTAAACTGAAATTGTCCAAGTATGGGTATGTCCATTTGGGGAGGAAAAAGAGTTCAGCCGTGTAGCAGTATAAGAGCATGGGCCCTAGGCCATCTTATGCACTAGCACTAACACAGCCATTGTGCTTTAATCTTGGTTTGGATCTCCAGTGTAGAATTGGTTTGGAAATCCCTAGCAGCCTCCAGAGATGGTTTAGCTTCTCCCTGCTTGGGGTGTCATTTACTTACATCCCACTATGGGACAGTTCTTGTCATGGGCGAGCATCCAAAGAACACCACTGAAAGCTGTAGGTATTCTGGGTACATGAAAACACAGTTCTGTCTATTAGCCCTTATCTTTCGGTATCTATTTAGATGAAGATGTTTAATAGACTGCAGGACTATAAGTGTATAGGAGCATGTACAATTTTGTAAATACTTTCTCACCATGTTTTTCTAGGTGTGCATCCATATGAAAAACAAGACCATGTTAATGCAAGATTTGTAGAGGAAATGGCACTCAAGCACACTATGACGCTTTTGGGCCTCAAATATTCCTGAAATATTGTGCTGTTGAAGAAGGCTGTCGAACTATGGTGCTTGTGTAAAAGTATTCACTTAAATGCCATGTTGTTTCCCGAATCACCTGCAGTTTTGGGTAGCTGCTGGTACTGACATGAGCTACGCAAAACAGTCCAACATACTAAGGTTGAAATTACTGACTTCTAGAGAAATCCTAGAGAAATGCATTTGACATGGACCCAAGTTTGAAATATATCTGTGGTTTCATTTGGAAGTGATCAAGTAGGTGGAACGACAGCGGGTATCAAAGCACGCTGTGAAAATTGGTATTAATGTCATGTATTTTAACACGACAGTCCTGGAAAAAGCAGTCTAAAACAGAAACAGAAACAAGAACCAGCAACTGTCTGCTCAGATTAATAAAAGGATTTCTTGGTGTGATTATGTAAAGTAGGTAAGAATAACAAATCAGTTTTATGTCAGGCATCAGTAATGATGTATTCTTTCCTTGTAGTGGTCATCAGTTACTTTATGGTACTTCTGCCTCTGGAGCTGCATTGTAATATTTTCAGTTTTGTAATTAACACAAAATATCATCTCCTTAATGTGCATGTGATAGATTTTGTTGGGGGCTCCTTGTCTGTTGGTTTTGGGTTTTTTTAAAGATATGTATAAAATATTGTAAGCAATACAGCATAAGAACAAAGCTTTTGAAATTTATCTTAACAGTATCTTGGACAGAGTTTTACATAATTCTTTCTTACAACTTCTAGTGTTACAGTTCAAACCTCAGCTTCAGAAAGGAGCTTAGGAAGGCTGTTTTTCCTTTGTTTTCAACTTTTATTTGTACGTAACTGAGCCAGTATTGTTTGTTCTTTTGTTTTAAGTTCTGAACTGTGACATTAATTTAAAATGGTAATAGTGGTTTGCTATGCAGAGAAAATTGTCAAGTTCTGCCATGCAGGATTTCTGCAGTCTTTACTGGATTTTACAACAACTCTACAAAATTTCAGCCTAATAAACTAGAGAATCTCCTTAACAATTTGATATATTTTGGAGCTTTTGAATAATAACCTCTGATATTTTCTCCTAGTAGTTTCCACTGATGCTTCCTCTTCCTTACCAGTGAAATAAAAAGATCTGTTTCCTGGGAGTGACTCTGCAAGTTCATGGTCACTCCCTTGTCCTTGCCATCAGAGAAACTTTAGCTTTCTCAGTGACTGCATAGTGGGATGGATTGTCTTTCTCAATATAATTAGAATTTCTCTGGGAAGTGTAAACTCCAGTCCCAGACTGCAGAAAGCCATGTTGGTGTATAAGTGGTGGCCACTTTGTTCATATTATATGAATAACAGGAGAAGATTTTCTAGCCTTTTCTTTTTTAATGAAATGTATTACAACATATCTTCAGATGCAATAAAACTTTACCTGGAAAAAAAAAAAAAGCATAGCATGATACCCACTAACTTTTCTTAACACTTTAAATACTGCACTCCATTTGGGATGCCAAGAGAAGAGGCTTTGGATCACCAACTAGTTAACTGTGCTTTTGGCATGAAGAAGTACTTGGTTTTCAATATGGACTTTGGCTGAACACTAACAAACATTCCTTCAGTGCAGTGTAAATGCTGCTGACCCTCAGGATTCAGCAATCAGAAATGGCCTCTCCTGCTTCAGGTGCTGTCTGTTGAGGTTTCAGATGGCTGTGCAGTAGATTTGCTGAAATGTCCCCGATCTGAACTGGATTCACTTGGTCTGAGAGGAGGCAGAGCACCGTGGGGCCGTGGGAATGGGGGACTCTGTTCCTTATCCAGGATAGAGGAGGTTGGGCATCCTTGGGCTGTCGTGTGGGCATGGCCAGGCACTGCATCTTGTTCCTTCTCTGCAGCGTCCTGTCGGAGAAACACAGTCTGTAATCACAGAGGGATTGTGTGCTTTAAAACTCCAGTGCTCTCCTGAGCCACTGTACAGAATCTGGGACAAAAGGAAACGTTATTAGTCTAATCCTTGGCAAGCCAGGAAAGCTGGAGGGGTATTGAAAGCATGAGGTTTCGACCAGGTAGATGGGAGTTTGTCCTTTTAAATAGTTGACAGTTTGAGGCTGTCATGCTTTTGTTATTTGTGAAGAAAACAGATTAAAGGAACTTTTAAAAGCTGTAATAATTGTAGAACATCTCGGGAACAATTCTGTTCCTGAATACAGTTCCTGCAGTGAGCTTTTGTGCACAGCACTGAAGGGAAACTGAGTCACAGCATGAGCAGAAGGGTCAATGACAGAGAAGATTCTAAACCACTATTATTCTGTAGGAGCTCTCTTCTCTGGGATCACTAACTGTCTCAAGGACAGAGGCAGTGTCCAGCAGGGTAGGGTTTAAAACACTGTTTGATGTGCTGCTCTGTCTACCCTCAGTGTCTTGCCCAACAATCTGATTTCTTGCTTCTTCTCATCTGATGCTTGTTGCATCTGATATTTGGGAGATGCTAAACTTATTTCTCCTGAACCCCACACCTCACCTTTTGCAGCTTTACCTTAAAATCCAGTGGAAAGCAGTATTCTACTGATGGCTGTCTCACCTGTTGGCCACAACATGGTCACACAAACTACTTTAATCCAAGGTGACACTTTTAGTACATGGTCTCCTAAAGACTGAATGACCAGCTCTAAGTGGTGTTGCCAGACTGGAGTAAAGCTCCACAAACCCCACTTAGTAGCTGTCTCTGTCTGTACCATGATCTGCACTGGCTCCTGGAGCTCTGTGTTAGCCGGTGAGTGGCTCCACATGGAGCCAGCACAGTTCTTTTGGAAAGACCAGGTAGACCAGAGAGTGAAGGGATGGGGCTGAACACTGAATTGCAATGTGTGACAAAAACTTACTTCAGCTCTGGCTTCAGATGTGGCTTTGTGTGTCTTCTCACTGCCTAGGACCTTCAACCATTCCTTTTCTGTTCCCTTAGGAGGGGGGAGACCTTGAGTTATCCTCCATGAAGCAATCATCACAAATTGTTCTTTTTCTTTCATTTCCTGCTGAAGTTGAACGACAAGTGATTGCTTCATGGTCAACTCTGCAATAAGAGCCCTCCTTTCCTTAGTTTTGTCCTTTATCTTCCTCTGCAGTTCATTTATCTGGAATTCAAAACAGCTGCGTTGTAGTTAGGATTTCCTTTTAGGCACTTACTGGGCATGACACTTAGGTCAGCATTAGATATCTGAAAACTAGTCCAACTTGACAAGGTTTTAAATAATAGTCCACACTTGAAAATTACTTAATTTCTGTAAGCACTTGGAACCACAGAAACTGGCAGCTCAAGAACTCAGATTTACCCCAATACAAGACACAGAAAAGCACATTTGTCATTGCCTCCTGCCCTTTTCAGCTGGACAGCAAAATTCCCCCTGCCCTTAAAGGCCCAGGACCCCAATTCAGTTTATGCACAGTTAACTTTGTAATAAAGGTGAAATAAGGCCAATCCTTATGCGATAATTTTGTGATAATGCAGATGCAGAGGGGCTGGGGGTTGTGACATTATCCTTGCAAGGGACACTGAAAAGGAATGTGGCAGGAATCTTTGAGTCTGACTGGAGTGGCTTAAAAAAACCCAACAAAACTTAAAGACTATTTAAGTGACTAATGGGGCAGAGCACTTGTGAATGTAACCTTTGGCACGCTGCCATTCTTACAGTAGTTTATTAGCCCATGGCCATCATTTCACAAACAAAAGTAACAACTATGATATTTTCTCTGTCTGGAAAATGAATGATTGATAATAAAAATCTGTTTTGTTTTAAGCCTTTCTGCCTACCAAACCTAACACCTAACAAAAGAAATCAACCCTGGCCTTGTTTTACATTAATTACTTGGTATTTTTTTTTCTGGCTTTCCCTCAGCTCTGATCTATTTGCAGCTTTTTCATTAGGAGCATGGGAGCTGGGAGCATTTTGGTTTTTCACAAACAATATTACTGACAGTTAAAAGGAAACATCTATCATTATATAAAAATAATTGTATTGAAAATTATGTTTCCTGCGTGATTCTCCCTACTAAATAGCAAATTGAGCCAGATACCAAGTTCATCTTAGCATATGTTCTTGTAGAATTTACCAGGCCTTTCTTTATACCTTTTTAGGCTTTGACGTGTTTGTTGTTAAGTACACATTCAAAAGAAGGATTCCACAAAGTTTCTAAGAATCTACCTCAGAAAGAACTAATCCTATATTTTTGTGAAAGGTACCAATTACAGCGCAATTTTCTTTTTAAAAGAAAGTACATTTGCCTAGTGGTTTTGGTATTATCTGTATTATTGCTACTATGCATGTTTATAATTTCTGAAGCATAGCTTATGACTTGCCTATCAACGTTTCCAGCCACTTTTGTAATTTGCAACTGAATCACCTCTTGCCCAGATATTATTTCATTTTGTTAAGGTTGGCAAGCAGAGTGTGCAGTGCCCTCCTCACCCTTTTAGTGAACAGCAGCATGTCCTGCTTCCTGTTCTCTGCCTCGACACGGATTCTGTCCGTCATTTCGGAAATGGACTCGCAAAGAAATTCCTTCTGCATCAGCTTCTGCTCCTTTTGGAGCAGCTCTGCTTCCAGCTGCAGCAGGGAGGAAGACACACAGGGTGTAAGGAAATGACAGGGGAAGGTGCAGCACAAGGTGTTCTGTGATTGTTTTGAGCTGCTGAAGTAATACCAAAAAACCCCAAACACTTTCACTATCAGTTTTCTCAAAATTTTCACCCTCTCTGCCAACTATCAGGCCCAAATTGGCTCTGTTGGTTACTGTCAGTCATACAATTGTTCCATATTAGACTGGGCCCTTTTGGGAGCAGGGGTTACATTATTGTTACTGCCTTGCTATGCTTTTTTTGAAAGCAATGGGGTTTTATTCTAGTGTTTGGTTGTTTTTTTATTAATGTTCTGGTTTATTGAGTCACACCATAATGGGAGGGTTTCAGCTCTTGCTTTGTATACCTTTTCCCTCCTGATACTAAAAAAAGAGAAAGTATGGGCTCCATAAAGTAACAAAACAGATACAACTACAATGACTTTAATTCCCAAGGAGATTGAAATAGATGTTTAAACTAATCATGAGTCCTGCTTTTTAATGTGCAGGTTGATGACAGCAGGCTCTGTTGTGGCCTGCTTGGCTACTCAGAGCTCCCTCGAGTCAAGGAACATGGGACAGTAAGGCAAAAAGCTCAGGTAATTCAAGCAGCAGTGTTCAGGGTAAGTCCTTACAAACTGGATTTCGAAAGAACATTGGTGTGTGCTGCTCTGACTCTGCTGCTACTGCCCTAACACCTTCACAGCCCTGTGTGAATCCCCCCAACACTGAACACAGTGGGAGGAGTTTTGTGCGTCTATAAACGGAACAGACAAATACCAATAAGAAAATGCTGTGTCTGCTTATTCCATTCCTTTACCTTCTTTCCTACTCCATACAGAGGGCTCTGAAATGGGCTTTTGATTGGACCTAATGCTTCCCTCCAAAGTCTCTCGGGGCAGTCCCCAGCAGTGCAGCTGCTGGGCTGGCCTGGCTGCTGCTTCCCCCAAGGCCTGTTTGATGGCTCCCTGTTCAGCAGGGAGGCAAAGCAGTAGAGCCCAGCCCTGCCAAGGTGGGGTGTTCGATTCTGTGTCACACTGGCAGACTCTGTTAGGAGGGTGGCAGATCTGCCTCCTGCTCACAGCCTGTGGGTAGTGGTGAAACAGCTCACGGCCCGTTGCTGAAGACTGACAACTGTTAGCAGTTTGTTTTTCTGCGTTTATCTCCCTCTGCTGCTTTCCCGAGTGAGGTGGGTTTGTGCTGAAGTGCCAATAGTGTGAATGGACTGGTTAGAAGAGCATGCAGGAGAGCCAGGTGTACCTCACAGAGCTCCCCCTCCCCAGCCTCTGCTGGATGAAGTCGAAATGCCCCACATCCAGTTGACCTGGACAGCAGACACTAGGCTGGAGTTCACAATAGCCAATCATAATTATTTAAATTCCATTTGCATTTTATAAAAGCAGTCGAGCACAGCAGGGTAGGTTGGCATGTGAGAAGTGATGTTACCTGTTCAATCTTTTTTAGCAGTTCAGGTGCAGATGGGTCCTTCCCTCCCATTTCATGCCTTCTGCTTTCATTTGTGGCATCACTAAAGATTTCCTCCATCTGTTTAATCTTTTCCTTGCACTGGGAATACTAAGAAACAAAAGGCCACAACAATTATTTGTTCCCACCAAACTATCCTGATGCCTTGGTCTGCAGACTTCAATGGACGAGGTTTCCTTGTACTGGGAAAGAGGGAGGGTAACACAAAAAATTATGAGCCCTTTTAAAATTTTATTTTAAAAGGGAACTATAGCATGACAGTTGGAGGACAGAGGAAACCCTGCTGTCTGACAGAAACTGAGTTCCAAATGTTTCTTGGACCTCAGGCTACATTTTTTTTATCCTCAGTAATACAACAGAAAGTCCTGCTTCCCCATGGGTTGGTGCTGCAGGTCGCATCCTTCCAGGCATCCAAGTTTTCTACACTGAAGTTCCCAGGCACATGTCCTGAAGTGACTCAGTGGTGACACTGCAGTGTGGCACCCCAGGGACTCATAGAGGCAGGTGTTCCCTGACCTTTCTGATGTGAGACCTTCCCATGGAATAACACTTCCCAGAAAATGCTAGATGGACATGCAAGCTCCACGTAAATCCTCTTTAAAGGAGTGTCTGGGGCCATTTTTTCCGTGTTTGGACTTGCAAGACTGACAGTGGTGGGGTCTTGTGCTCTGATAAGCACCTGGCCATCTGTCAGTGAGTTGTCACTGCAACCTTGAGCTATTAGCACTGACATAACACTACCCAGGTATAAATATTAACCATCCACTGCAGCTGATGATTGATTAAGGAAATATGTGGTCACTAGCTCTCAAAGTTATGAGCAGTCACCAAAATATAAAGTAAATGTTTAGATGTTGCTGGGATGGGGTTTGTTCCTGGAAGTTAACAAGTCATATTTAACTACAAAAGGAAAAACTGACAGGTCTTCTCGGGTGTCAATGGAACAGTACCAGAACACTTTTTCTAGTAAAAAGGCACCACACAACTCATTCCTGTACACTTTGTCTGAAAGCAGCTAAAGTTAAAACCTTAAATGACTATAATGAACAATTTCCTCAGCAAAGCATGATTCAGCACATAAATAATGATCTGAAAGATATGTTTTAATTATAAACAACTAAAACTCAAGCCCAAAAATACACAGAGTGGAAGAATGCAAAAGTAGGGCCAGCACAGCAGGATGCAGCTATGCTTCCAGTGATCTTTCTTATCTGGGGCCAAATTTCTCATCCACTAAAACTCAGGAGAAAATACCTTATTGGAGGCTGTGGTACCTTAATGAGATTAGGGGCAGCTTACCAAGGAAAATTTTGCAGGACGGAATAGTTAATTTAGAGAAGGACTATTGCAGCAAAACCAGTGTCCAAAATTCCATAAAAAAATCTATTAAAAGTTTCATGTTAAACCTAACCTTGCTTTTAAATGCAATACAAATTCGAAGTGATCAGATGCAGGACTTTATCTGAGTTCTAGGAGATTCTAAGTCTTAAAATGAAAAAAAAAATCCTTCCTTTCTTGGAGTGGATTTGATACAGGGGATAGGAAAAGGCTCTAGAAGAGCAGCTGGATTGTATGCTGGATTGTAATCCGTCAGGAGGGATGGTTTGAAGGGTGGCCACACAAGAGGGAACACATGGTCTGAAAAAATGGACATCCAGTGCTTATTTTTGAAATCTCAGAGACAGTAGGTATGTACAGCACTAGGTAAGGGCAAATATCAGACTTATTTTCAAAAGTGAGGGGAAAAGGAGCTATGGAACCGTAAGTAACTTGCCTTCACTTCCTGAAGAATAAATCTGGAACATATCATTAAGTTTCCTTTGTTGATGTCAAGAAAAGAAAAAGGGCAGGAAAAACAGCCCAGAGAGGTGTGTTGAGTCATGATGCCAAACCAGACCAATGTCCCACTATGATGATTTCACAGGTGTATGGATGACAAATAGTAGGTATCATACATCTTGATTTTTATATAGCTTCAATATTGTTTCATATGTGATTCTCATAAACAAGCAGAGGAAATGGGTTCTTGATGAAAATACACAGTAAGTACCTCATCAGCAGAATGAGGTCAATCTCAGAGAGACTGCAAGTATTTTTTTGAGAACATGCAAATTCAAAATTACCTTGGTCTGAACTAAAAAGATAATATTAAATAAAAAATGCAAGTTCCTACATGTAGGCAGGAAAAACTGCCTGTACAAACACAAAATCAAGGTCAACTGGTTGGATGCCCTTTTTTTGAAAAAGGGTCTGGTTGTTACACACATGTATGTGAAAATGAATCACTGTCATGTCAAGAAAAGCTGCCATCATACCTGGACACGTAAGCAGGACTGTAATTTGCAAAAGGCCTGAATGAATCCTTTCACTCTCAGCCACTACACACTGTACCTCAAGACAAATAAAGACCACAGTGCCAAAAATAAAAGAAATGCAGAAAAACAGTGACCTAAGAAAAATCTGTCAGGGCTGATTGAAAGAAAGAGGGGTATGCAGCCTAGCAAAAGGATGGGAGAGGAACATGGTTAACTGCCTTCCAATAACATGAAATGCTGCAGAAAGGAAAAGAGTGGTCTGCTTGTCATGTCCCTGGTGCGCAGAATACAAATCAATATTCTTACACTACAGCAAGAAAGATCCAGGCTAAAGGTCAAGAAAATCTTTCCACTGTTAGGAAGGACTGGGATACCTTGTTGAGGAAACAGGTTTCCCAGTGGTGGCTTGAAAGCACAGCTTAGCCCTCTCAGGAATGACAGGCATAGGAGCAGATAGCAGATAAATCTTTATCTGTCTATTAGTCCCATTTTTCTATGCCTGTGGTGATGTAGAGATGTCTGGAGATTTTCATGGGATTGTATTAAAACCTGGACAAATGTTGTTGCCAAATGCCTCAAAAAAACTGACAGTCCTTGTACATTAGCTGAACTCTGAGGCGTGAAAGTCCCATCTACAGCACCACGACAGCTCAGCAGGTCTATGTGTTGGACTAATTAATGGTTGATGCTAGGTATTTCTCATTGATGCATGAAGGCAGATTAGTTTTCATGGGTCACTTCAAACAGCAGGAGCAGCCCCTTGATGTGCAGTCCCAATTAAAAGTTACGTAGTTTTATGCCCAGAGAAAACCACCCTACAAACTCCCCAGGTACATTTTTTGTGTCAGATAAAGGAAGTACCTGTAAATATTTCTATTTTTAAATCTTTACATTGATAGTAAGAAACCTACCTAGTCCACATTACTAGCACTTGCTTAGAAGAGGTCTGGTCTTGCTTCAGAGAAGGGGTTTTTTTTGGCTAAACTATTCAGTGATGTTTCACTCTTTTGTGGAAATAGGCAGCTTCTAATAATGTACAAGTGGAACAGACATCACTTTGATGATTAAGCAGCTCATGTGGAATATGAAGCTGCTCAGGTGAAGTGTTTGTTCTTGCTGAATTGGCACCCAGCCCTGCTCTGGGCTTTTCGCCTTCCCGATGGGCACCCCAGCTGTTATGGGTCATTTCTGCAGCTTGCAAATATTTCTGGTTTTAATTCTTTACATTTGTAGTAATGAAATACCTAGTCCATGTTACTAGCACTTGCTTCAAAGAGGTCTGGGGTTGCTTAAGACTGAAGGAGACAGGAAGGGAGGGAAAAGTAGAGGAGAAAATTTAAAAGGCATGGATGGAGGATTCAGCCTGCTCATGTCAGATGGTCTGAATTTTATTTAAATTGTAGATGACTTTTAAAGAATCACAGAATCACAAAATTATTTAGATTGTAAAAACCTCTGAGGTTATTGAATCCAAGCTATGACTGAACACCACCATGTCAAGTAGACCATGGCACTGTCATGTCCAGTCTTTCCTTAAACACCTGCAGGGACGGCGAGTCCACCACCTCCCTGGGCAGCCCATTCCAATATCTAATCACCCTTTCTGTGAAGAATTTCTTCCTTCTTATACAAGTCAAAGTTTCCCATGCCATTGATGGGCAGAGGTAGATGCCTTGAGAGTAAAGACCTAATCGAGGAATACTGTGCTCCCTACAAAATGTTATCAGGATTTCCCTCTGGAGGCAAAGACACACAATTCGTTCCATCGGTAAAGAAACCTTGTTCACTTATCTGCATCATTTGTGGGCTCCTAACATGCAGATAAGGTTAGGGACACTGGCTCCTACACAAAGTCACAACAGAATGGAGAAATAAAACAAAGAGGAGAACTCAGAAATGAGATTTACAGTCTGCATTAGAGGAGGTCTAAGGGACTCTGATAGATATCAGGGTTTCATAGCCCTGTGGTGCACTGAGCCTCTCTCTGAACATTTATAATTGTCTACACTGAAAAACAGACAAAACACAGACCCAAATGAGCTCCTGTTACCCCTTCAGAGGGCTGAAGACCAGTGATTTAAAGTTGTATTCACTGCATCATCAAGTCAATGTTTCATCTAAATGATCATTATCATAAGATTCTTTGACCATGACAACTGAACAGAAGCCAAACTGGATTTCAACATGGATTCAAATTTGTAATTGGTACAGGAATTAGCAATCTGAATTTGGCAACCAACACCAGAAATCAGATTCAGACTTATAGTTTTTATTTAAATTATGGAGATAAAGCCAAACTATTTGAAACTGCTTCTCAGTGGGCATAATACCTGTTGGCAGTGGGAGTAAGAGTATTAATGCTGGAATGGTTGAGCATAAGGAGATGGATGAATTAGCAGCCAGTTTGAACCATGTAACACCCAGTAATCACAGTAGCTAGTTAAATTTTAAAGGCTGATAACTGATTACTTGTCATTGGTAACTGGAAAATCTCTGACTTGGGAACATTTATTAAGGCTACTGCATGTGTAATATCACACAACCGTATTTTCCTATTTTTTAATTTTATGTCAATATTGCAAAAAGATTTAAAGCACCTGCAACAATAGCATTCCTTCAACAGTGACTTTAGGCTTCACATGAACCATCATCACAAAGGAGAAAGTTGCAGGAATGCAGAACAGAAAAAGCAAAGTTTCACGATTGACTTCACCAATTCACAAAAATCATCTGCATTTTGTTACTGTATTTGACTCAGTGACTTTCAGCCTCATTCTGAATCTTACCTGAAAATGCCTTTTTTTCCCTTTAGGTTGCAGTTTGGGTTTTTTCCCCATACCACCTCTGTTCATAGTTTAAATCTGTAAGGGCCCTGTAAAGTTCTTTGGGCATGATTTGCATGAAGTATTGTACTACATTTTATTCTTGTAGCAGAGCACACAATTTCTTCAAAAGGCCAGAAGTAAGAGAATAGTGCAAGCACTATTAAACAGTGAGTCACAGCTCCCACTGATGCAAGTTTAAAAGGCAATGGTAAACCCTAATTTATGATTTTGTGCAGGCACTAATGGAGTATGTATGGAGAAAATTACCATCTGGAGATAAGGTCAAAACTAAATGAGCCATTTCAGAAAGCAAGGAAAGAATGTCCCAAGAACTGCAGTTTGTTAGTTGTTTAATGTTATGTTGTAACTAGAGCTAAAACTTACACTGTTTTTGTGTAGCAGAAAGTATATGTGGATTATATCATTGTAGGCTGCAGAGTTTCCAGAGTAGGCTCAGGGTCAAGTGTGAATTGAGTTATTATTCCAGAAATTTGACGATCTAAGTGTATCTCCCACCCCTCCACCTACTCCATCAATACAGTTTTAACAAATTTTATCTACAGTCCCATTTTTGCCCCATGACTCCCATTCTCCAGCTTAGTCATACTGACATTTCAGGCCATGGGGAGGGTTAGCTGAGATTCCATACCCGGGAAGCCTTTGGCGTGCGCGTAACAAAGTGCATCAGCCAGTTACACATGAACATAGAAACTCCCACATCTGAAGTTAAAAACATGGCAGTGTTTTGCTAGACAGGTGTATTACTCAACTTGCTTTAATAAAGACTTTTTAAAATAAAAACATCTAGACTTTTTTTTTTTCTATGAAATCACCCTATGCTTTAAAATACAGAATGACATAAAAAAAAAAAGGTTCCTCTGCCACCAACCTCTATCTCAAGTGTTGCCAGATCTGCATTCAGGGCATTCTTCACTGTGAGCTCTTTGAAACACAATGCAATCTCTCTCTTTTTCTCAGCTACCTTCAGCTTCAGAAAACTGATCTTTTCATCCATAACTTGCATCTCATTATCTCCATTTCTACATATCATCTCTTGCCTGTTTATTTTTTCATATAAGAAGCCTATTTCTTCATCTCGTTCTCTGAGCAGAAGACAACTGAAATAAGGCCAAAGTGAAGAGGTAAATTAAAAAGAAAAAATTACTCATATTCAGTGTATTCCATTCAAGAACATAACCAGTGACCTTGAAAGATAGTAATAATCTGGGAAAATTTACAAAGCTTTCACAAATAATATTTTAATATAATGGCAGCATTTTAAATAAGTAACAAAATAATTGCAATGTGAAAATCAGAGAACAAACACTTGGAAAGGTTACTCTTGTCTCTCATATAATTTTTAAGATCTTCTGGCCTACCACAGCATCTAAAATGGATTAAGAAGATCAGAGAGATTTAGATCATCTGCACTTTTATACCTTATCTATGCACAATGCACAAACAGAGCAGGAGGTTACAAGTTCTCAAGGCATTCAGTAGCCAAGCCACCATGTTTTTTGAATTAAATAGTTCTGCAGAATGAGCATTGTCACCTGTAGAAACATCCACATAATGCAAAGCAGCACCATCAGTGCAGTGAGGCAGATTGTTCAGCGAAACATGGTAATGCAGCAGCTTTCTTAGTATTCCTGAATAGGAGTGCTCATAAGCTGAAAAACACTGCTGCTTCATCAATGTCAAAATCAAACACTACCTTAATGGAGTTTACACATGTACCTCTCCTTTTGTTGCTGAACAGCCCTTTCGCATTTTTTACATAGCCGGGCAATGTCCTCTTCAATGTGGGTGACTGTCGTGGTCAGTCTCTCAAGATTCAGATGCTTTTGCTTTTCTTTTGTCTCTTGAATGACTTGTGCAACTTTGCAATAATTCATTTTGAGATGCTCTATTATTCCTGCGTTATTTTTAATCTTCATACGCTTTTCCTGCAATGTTCTTTAACATAACAGAAACGTGGGAATATTTTTAGTCCTTTCAATTTGAAACCAATTTCACCGATTAAAAGCAGCTCTTAAACTCATTCCACAAATATACACAAAGGATCCTCTATGTCACTGTGCTTCACAGAAGCATTACAAGAAGCAGAAAGATTCTCTGAAATGGGTTTTTCTTTGCAAGCTCTTTCCAGCTTGAAAAGAACTGGATTATGGCCCAAGAAAAATGCTATAAAGGGAGCACTGCACTACAGCTCTTTTCTTCTCTACTGGGTAGCCCAAGGGACCATAAGAAAGTTCAAGAGCAGAAGCATAAACTCTGATGAAAAGTCTAAGTGTGTAGAAATCCTGCCCTTCTATTTAAAGAACGATATTTAAATAATTTTTGTGGTTGCAACTCAAAGCTCTCCAAGTTTATTGTTTATAAAATGATGTATCACAACATTAACACAAGAAAGAAAGTTATTGGGTTACCCATTTGACAGATAAAAAGTCATAGTTGGAAGGTTAGTGACAAGATCACGTAAACATAAACAACAGATCTCTATTTCCAACACCCTATGCTGGTCACTGGACGATGGTTCCTCACTTAAAAAGACAGATTGTTGTTTTACATGGATCATTCACTTGCTCACAGCATGGAACTTAGAGTTAGTGAATTTGATCTGTGGAAAGGGTCACTTCTGGATACACAGCACTATCTGCACTGGGAAGATGTTGACATCAACATACAAAAGAGGCAGTGAAAGGAGAAGCAGAGCCTCCTGTTAAAATATAGACCTGCAGATGAAATATCCTCCCCTCAGAGGCTCCACCATTACATTTCTGAATTGCTGTATCCAGAGCAGGGAGCTGCTTTCTGTTTCCCCCAACATGTGTAAGGCTTTGAGTGACACAGGGTGTTACTGAGTTGAATTAAACTTCTGTAAATCGAGTTTCAGGCTGAAAGCATGACAGTGTTGCAGGAATTCAATGTGTTTAAAATATTTTCTGAAAATTTTTTTGTCTTATTTGGACCAATACTCTGTCCTCCAAGTTGTATAAGCTGCAGTGAAGTTCAGTGACACTGATACTAAAGCCTGTTACTGAGATTAAAAATATTTTTCATAGGTAAGAGGATTTTAGTACCTCTTGCTAGTTTTAAATCCAGCCTTGTAGAGATCAAAATATCTGCTGGATATATATTGAGTAGGGTCATCTATAATAATTATATATTCATGATATCTACATAATATTTATCTGTCTTAGCCTTTTTTCCCCTTCTTTCATTAACTGATAAGTCCTCAAAAATTTTACCACAAAATGTGAGCTTGTACACCTTGACAAAATCACTTCAATCACTGAGATTCCACTTCTTTTCCAGCTACCTCCAGCATGACTTTGAAATCAAACTACTAAGAGATTACACCACTAGTGTATTCTTTGGTCTGATTGTGCAATTTTTTGGCACCAAATAACAAAGTTTTGGGAAAATTAAGTTATTTTTAAACTACTCAGTTTTGGTTGTCCTGTTTTGCTTACACAGCTGGCTACTCACTATCTCCTACTTGCCCAGCTACTGATTTCCAAGACATTTTAATTCTGTCTACATTTCAGAATATCATCACCAGGATTACAAAAAGATGGTAATTAGATATCTCCAATAAATAATGGTCTAGGGAAAAACAGAGTCACAAGCACCAGTCATTCTGCCTCATCCTCCTTGTTGTGAATGTAACCTTTCATTGTTTCTAAGATTGCTTGGAAATTGAAACCACTTTTTGTTTCATCTGAAATAAACATTATCTAATAAACTCCATGTGAGTTTGAACCAAGAAACCCAGTTTGTTCTAACTGAATAATTAGACAGCCACATTACGAGCTAGTGACTCATTTAATATACCATGCACAACTTCACTGTGGGATCGTATGTGCCAGGACAGCAAGTAGGGGTACAACAGTGCTGCTCATACTGAATGAAACAGCATGACAATGTAAACATTAAGAGATCTAAGAACTGTGATATAAAGGAAATGCAATGAAAATTTATCCCTTCAAAGAATGGGACAGTGAGGGAGTAGCCAGACAAACTTCAAGAGTGTTCCTTCCCCAGCTAGTTGGAAAGTGTTAGGGGGATCAGAAATTGGAATAGATTATGTAGGAATATTGCTAAATGCCTTTGTTTTAATCAGATTTTAAAAATCAGGATAATAACTATCAAGGATGATACAGGCTTAACTGAAGAGGGACAAGATTCTCTCCTAAGATGTTTTCTAATCTTACATTTCTATAATTGTGAACCACAGCTTACTTTGAACTCACCTTTCCTTGGCTAAAACAGTATTCCTTAAATTTTCTATTTTATTTTCTAGGAATTTTACCCGGTTTCCAGCTTCCCTTGCTTTCCACTGAGCACCACGCACCAATTGTATACATTTATCCCTTTCACTTTGGATAAAATCGCACATTTTAGCAAACCCTTGGAGTCTGAAGAAATGACACATGTGAAAGAATTATTAGAATTTTAGGCATACATTACTTGGATAAAAGTTGCTTTAAAAGACTTTTTTAGATAATGTATTTAATTATTGTTATTATTTTCTTACTGGTTTTGGATGTCTTTTCTCCTCTTTTTCCAGACTTTTATTTCAACATTCTTTCTTTTTACTTCTTTAGTAAGATTTTGGAGTTGGATCTGAAATTTAAATAGAATTTAGTGAGCACTTCAGATATATTAAAGAAATTACTTAGAACAACTCTTAGATAAGGAAAAGACAGTGAAAGGAGATAATTATAATGACTTTTTCCAATGATAATGAAATATTTTTATTAAAATGACATGAAAGAGCACCATTTTCCCATCTATATGAAGCTGACAATGACTATTACTAATGTAGATAATTTGATGCTGCATCTTAAATGCTTGGTCCCCTGAATCTGCAGTTCTGCTGTTTCTACTAATCAACCTGCCAGTTCTACCACTATATCACTATTTGGCATATGCACCATTGAAATTGTATGTTTACAAATAAAATTTAATTTTTACCCAATCCTAACTTTTAAGTAATCACTGATGATTGAGCAGAATGGTACATGTGCATTCTGTTAAGGCTCTGGACCTTTGGATTTCAGTTGTGTTCAGTCCTCAATAGCCTGGGCCATGAACATTCAATAGATAGGCCTTTTCTCCCCTCCCACTGGTAGCAGGAGGAGGAGATTGGTATTATGGAAAGCTGGTGGATGATGAAACTTTGGGCAAGTCTGTGTGTTCCTGAGTTTGCTTTGGTTTATTTTTTTTAATCTGTTTATAGACTGATTTTTACTGAAGGTACAAAACCTGACATGTTTGTTTATTCTATTTTTAAAGGCAAAGATTCCCAAGGTGCTAGAAGGGCAGCTTATATAATTTATTTGAATACAGACACACATTTTGAGAACATAAATAGTTGGTTCCCCTATAACAATTTGGTATTTAGTAAATAGTGTGTGACGTTGCAGCACACACATGACATTATAATAAAAATAAATTAATAAAAATGCAGGCAGCAAACACAATGACTAATCATAGGAAAAGTTTTCTTTCCCTCCTCTTTCTCTAAATCAATATAATTATTTATGTTTTGAAATGCAACAGGAAAACAAAGATTTTTGCCTTTCCTTGGAATTAGTAGTTCTGTTTTTCTCCTAACATCCATATATTTGTAAAATAAAACACACAGTTTTACTTCTAAAAATCTCAGGTGAGTTCATCTACTTTTCTGCCTCTTTCTTTCAAATTATTCATTTTATTCCATAGACTTGAAAGAAAATGTTCTTTCAAATACCTTGTTTCAATTGTGGAGTGACGTTTAAAAGAACAGCACTGCTGCACCACGAATTGTCAATAAAACACCACAGTATTGGGGGAGCTTCCTGGGTTCTGATGGAATTTCAAAGCTAGAGTGGGAAGTGAGAGTCCATCAGGCTCCCTTCACTAGGAATGCAATTTCTGCCTATACCAGCCTTGGCTTTTGAGAAGTTTTCCAAAGATATAATTTTTTACCTTGGCTTTCTGAACATCCCTGGATTTCAGCTGCCTCTCATCAGCTCTGAGAGAAGTCAGATGTATAAGTTTGGATAACTCATCTCTGCGCTTTTCCTGCTCTTTGAAAAGCAGGCGTTCTTTAGCAATGCATTCTTCTAACTTGTGGGCATCCATATCTGAGATCATTTCCTAGAGAAAATTAAATTTAATTCCTTATGCATCAATGCATCAGTGTGGGCAAATGCAAAGTTGGAAATACTTTGGGTTTATCTGTGAAGTAAAAAAATATGTAGACTACATGGATCTAAAAAACTTTTTTTTTCATTTTTTAAAAAAATTACAAACAAGTGGTCCTTAAAATGGAACAAATACTATCTCATTTTCTCATCAGAAAGCTGCATCTAGAAACTCCCATTATTTTTTCTTCAGAGTTCTTTTAATCTCATATTAGAAAACCAATTGTTACAGTGAAAAAATGTGAGAAAGCAGAACCTGTTCAGCCAAACGTCTCTTGATCATTTCAATTTCCTCCTGCACTTCTCGTCGTCTTTCTAATAATGCTTCATTTATTTTTGCATTCATTTCCACCTACAAAAATAAACCAAGCTCACTGAGTGATGCAAATAAAATATGAGGAAAATGTAAACTGTAGAGACTATTTGAAGTAGTTACCCAAATTAAGAAATTAATTTTCTTTCTTATTACAGTAGCTAGTCCAAGAGTGCTTTACTGAGTTTAGTTCCTCAGCAACATCTCAAAGTTTCTCAAATTTTCCTGTTAAGAACTATGAACACTAAACTTCACAAAGCCCAGTTTAAGGAGTGAATTTAGAAGGCTTACATTTTTCAGCAACTAAACTGTCATTAAAAAATCCAATAATCACAAAAAGAGACTATGTAAAAATGTCACCTTCTAAATTCATGGAGGATTTTCAGAATCAAATTCTGACCTTACTTAAGAAAAAGAAATAGATCTACCACTGATTTTAGTACAGTCAGTATTTCACATCTAGGTAGATTGGATATCATATTTTTTTGTTTTTATTATTAAAGTGGGATTTTCCTTTGCTCAAGAAAGTCAAAACTAACAACACAAACTTTTATGTACTATTTTTTCATATACATTATGGGAAAATTTCTTTATTCAATCAGATATTAAAATTACGTGAAGGAATAAGTTAGAAACTACCTCTGACTAAAATATATCTGAACAATCTCACTACAAGTACTTGCATGATATAACTCATAAGACAAAAGGTTGTATTGACCTCGTTGTGATTAAATTCATTTAAAAATTCTTTATGTTTATAAGCAAGTAAGAAATAAATGCACAATGTGCAAACATATGTTACCTATCTAATTGATGGGGAAAAACTCTTTAGCAGGGCCTGTTGTGATAGGACAAGGGGTAACAGTTTTAAAATAAAAGAGGGTTGTTTTAGGTTAGACATAAGGGAGAAGTTTTGTATAACGTGGGTGGTGAAACACTGGCACAGGTTGTCCTGAGAGGTGGCAGATGCCTCATCCCTGGAAACGTTCAAGGCCAGGTTGGACTTATCTCAGAGCAACCTGATGTAGACGAAGGTCTCCTTGCTTACTGCAGGGGTTTGAAATAAATGACCTTTAAAGATCCCTTCCAACCCAAATTATTCTATGATTCCATGATTCTAATTGCAAATCTGTAACTCATATGGGTGGGAAAGAAATCACATTTAACAACACATCTGGAAAATATTGAAAGATAATACACACAACCCTGTGGTATCTTGCTCAGATCTCAACCAGATGTTAGAGTTCAAAACACAATAAATCAATACTGATACGTAGATATTTTGCATTTGTGATTTTAACTTCTGTGTTAATACTGTAAAATTAAACATTCACTTGCATTAAATGAAAGGGGGAAAAGAACATAGTAAAGGTCAAACTGTGGAGTTACTTTGGTTGCAGCTGCCAGCTCTGAGATTTGATTTGACTTAGGTTTACTAAAAGGTCAATAAAACCTGTTCTAAGAAAGTGATTTTCACTCTCGTGGTGTGATCAAATGCAGCTTTTCTGTGGAGCCTCTATTAGTTACCGCTTCTGCTATGTTAAAGTTAAGAGCTCATATAAACATCTTTAATCCATTAAGGACTTTTGTTCACATAAGACATGGCTAAATTTAGGCACTTTTGGCTGTCTCTGCATTGGCCTGACTGAAGGAAAGGCACGCACAGAGAGGAGCAGCAGTTCTGCTCCGGGCTGGTGATGGCCAGAGGCGCAGTTCTCTTTCACACAGAACAGCAGCGTTTAGCAATAGCTGACCTTTCACAACTTACTAAGAAGAAAAACACATTTGAAGGAAGTGTTCCTGTAATTTCCTTGTTCTAAAAACCAGTCATTGTGCGCTTCGCTTATGATTCAAAATACGAGAAATTTGGGGAAGCACACTGCTGTACTGCTGCTTCTGCAACCACACCTTTAAGCGAGCAATTAATTCTTGTGTTGTTTTGTTGTTTGTTTTTTTTTTTTTTTCCACTTGGAATCACAATGAATAAACGTAAATCTGGGTTTTTAAGTAGTTAAAGGAACTTTATCTACTTAAAATATTTTTTTTAACTTTTGCTAGGTGTGCTCCCAAGTTTTACGGATTAAAATTGCCTCAATGTGGCAAAAGCCAAGCAGGAGCAGGGTTGACACTCGACCCTCCCATGCTGCAGTTCTGCCTCTGCACTGACCATGCTGCAGAGGAGCCATGATTTCACATTTGCTCTTCAAAAGGAGCTGGGAAAGGAATTAGAGAAAATACCAAGCATGGGAGGATGGGCTAAAACAACTATATTGCTGTGGCATGTTTGCATTGGGGCAGCATCCTGCAACTTCTTGAGTAAAATACTGACTAGAATTCCACTTTTGTCTCTCCTGCCATTCTCTTCCCTCCACTTCTCATGATGATGCTGCTTGTAAGACACACACAAAGTTCTTGTCCTTTCAGTGTGAACGAATTAGGCTGGGATGGATTTCAGTCTCACAGACTGTGAACTCTCACAGATGTCGATGAGTTACAGAATTTGATTTTAGCATTACATGTGGTTCAGTATTTCAATTGTGGCTCTCCCTCCAGGAATATTTCTTCAATAGGAACACAAGAAAAAATGCCATCTCCTAGATTCTCTTAGCTTATTCTCTTAGCTAAGCTTTAAAATCAAATTCTGGAATATAAGTCAGACCTTTAATCATTATTTCAGGGAATTAAGTCCAAAACTTTGTTGAGTAGTTATAGAGCTTTCCAACCTCCTCCCAGGTAAGCTTAAACTACTAGGTAATACACATGTGAATTCTGGAGGAATTTCAAGAGACACCAAAAAATATTGTTTAATAATATTAAATATTATCAAGTAGTATTTACTGTTTTCAAATAGCAAAGCTAAGTATGTATGACTTTTACTATGAGATGGTTATTTTTTAAAACTTTACAATGATGTAAGTAAGACTCCTTTCTGCCCTGAATTGCTTACATGGACCAAGACAAATTTCAAGGACAGTGTCAAGGTAGGAAACGTCAAGTCCTCTGAAAAATATTCACCTGAATAAACAAGATTAATTTTGTAACACTGACTTACAATTTAGACTAATCAAAGAGCAAGTAGAGGAGAAAAAAGAAAGAAAGAATAGAAGAACCAGTGATGAGAGAAAGAAAATATAAAAAATTTACAGACATAGTAAATTTTTAAGAAAGAACTGGAAGCAGAAAAGAAAGAAAATGCTTTGAACACACAAGTAGAACAAGATTTTTCTTTAAAATCACCGTTGTCAAAAGCCTAGGTAAAACAGAAAAGAGCAAAAAAGTATTAAAAGAGGAATGGGTGAAATACTAATGCAAGGAGGAAATAAGGAAGTTGAAATAACTCTTCTTCCCTTCCTCCTTCTAGGACTGTCAAGAGATTTGAGGACTGTCATGAAAGATTTCTTACAAGAAAAATTAGAATCTTTATGATCAATGCATTCATACAGACCTCTGATTTGAGTCTTTTATGCTGTGCCTTGTCTCGTTCCAAGGAGTCATAAATCATACCCAGTTGTACTTCCAGCACTTTTAAATTTTTCAGTTCTCTCTCCTTCTGTGTTTGCTTTTGAGTGAGAGCATCACGTTGTTTTTTGTTCTCCAAGATACATTTATTTAAATTGTTTTCCAGAATTTCCCTATGGAGATAAGACACAAAATCTTAGTAACAGGTAACTTCACCAAGATATATATGTAAACAGGCATGACCATTTTAATGGGTTTTGAGTATCTCATTTTTATGGCTGACCAGCAAGATAAACTCACAAACTACTGATAAAAATTCCCTGAAAAGGTAGCATTTTTATAAATGTAAGCAATTACAATATTCCTAATTATGTCAATGGGGTCTCACAGTCTGTTCTAAATATGTAAAAAAATCCAGGGAAGCTAGTACATATAAAAAGATACGGGTTTTAGTATGAGGGAATATTTCAATGTAAAGTGCCACAGGCCTTTAATACAACACTTTAAAGAATTGTTACTGAGCATATGGCCATGATTACAACTATACATCTCCCTCTGCAAAGAAGGAATGATTTGAAGCTTATCATCAACCTAACAGTTGATTTTACTTTACCAAGTATATATAAGCTCATAGTTCAAGGTAATATTAAAGAGATGAGTAACCAATCCCCACTGAAATTCAGGAGTTTGTGAGTACTGACATCCATGATCCTCATTTGAAAATGAAAATACTGACATACCCTTTTCTTCATCAATTTACTTTCCAGTGGGTTGCACAGGAAAGAAAATATCTGCACTGAAGAGAGAAACCTTCTACAATATTGCCCTTTTCAGAGTAAAATCCAGTTTCACTCTCCTAGGATTTTATCAAATTCTTATGCTTTTGGAGTTTTTCTTCAATCCAGATTCCAGATTCCAAATTTTTATATAAATATTTCTGAAGTCAAAACCAAACTTGATCCTTTCTAGTCTGCACTGGTTGCAGCCTAAAACTTGAAAACAGAAGCAGTACAGCAGAAGAAAGACTTTTGAGGACACAGAATTGTTCACTCATACTACATGGTTTATGTCTCTAACCTGTCTGATAGGATCTCTAATTCCTTCTCAGTGTTAATTTCTACTAATTTTGTCAAACTAATGCATTCTCGTTCATTGCTTTCTAGCAAAACTTGGTTGTTCTCCAATTCCTTCTTTACATCTTCTCTTTCTTGTAAAATCTCTTCAGTCCTTTTTTCAATGGCTTTCAGGGTTCTACTCAACTCTCTGATTTCATCATTAAGAGCTTCATTCTTCTTCTCTGCGTCACTGTGGACATATTTTAACAAAGCAGTAGGGGTTAACTTTTCCAAATGCATATTTCAGTGGCAAAAGGTCATTGGACACACAGAATAATTTTACCACAACAGTATAGGTTATATGTTTGAAAGCAGACTACACACAGTGAAAAGCTTCAAATTTTAGTACAGTTCAAAAATAAAATTGCAGTTAGCCCGGGGATTAACTGAGAGTTTAGCACCATTATAGAATTAAAGAGAGTTCTAATAAACTGATTTCTGGCAACATTACTAGGTACATGGGTGTGACACTTCTAAATATTATTCCTAAGACTGGGAACTCTAGTTAGCTCATGCTGTGGCCTGACACAAGTATAAAGATTCATTTAAGTACTTCATTAATAACAATCTACACAATGTAGGTTTTGAAAATTGCTTCTCTGTAACACTATAGGGAAAACTTCTTGGATTTATGGTGGCAAAGTTACATTAAGCAGAGTAGTGAGGAAAATGTAGAAGAAAACCATCACAGAAGTTTGAAATCCGAGAAATTTAACCTTTGTGTATTACAAATAGGGACGGGAAGCAGGAGACACAAAAAGTTCGGTGTAACCCTGTGCACAAACAGTGTACAAACTCCATCATTCATCTGCATTGCAACTGGACCTCTGGGATGTGTGAGTGACCTGGCTGAAACTGCACAGTGTTAATTAGATTTTACACTTACAGAAAAGAGCACATGCCAAGCTTCAGGGGAGAAAAACCCCAGCTCCACAAGGGAGAGACAGAAAAGGCTGGCTTACATTTTCCCTGTTGAAGTATTAGAGACCACAGTTCACATCAGGGGCTTACAGCAAAGCACCTGTGACTCAACATCTGGTACAGAAGTATCCAGGGAGAATGATTATGTAGCTCAGGCCAGACTGTCAGCTGTGGAAGCTGCTGGTTCCACTGAGGCCAGCAGAGACCAGCTGATACACAGTCCCTTAGCACTAGAAACTGTAAAAAAAGCCTAATTGTGAGATTACACAGTAACATTATTTTCCACTAGACATCTGCTAAGCAGGTGTCATATATAGCAATGCAGCACAGTGAGAAGGCTAAGCAATTTTTCACCAAGCTTTGTTCTAAGTTTTTCTTTGTTATACTTAAATTTACAATGTTTCACTCCATATACTGTATTTTTCAGTACAGTGCATGGATTTTAAGTGGATAATAGATGCCTTCTCAAATGTTGATCCTAATTTTAATCAACAATAATCCTCAATCATCTCTGTAACGAATGGATAAGAAGAAGTCATACATTTATGTATACGGAATTATTTATTAAAAACATACATTTTTTTCCGATATATCTTCTCAGTTTCTTTTGCAAGCTGTTTTGGAACACCAAGGATCTTAACTAGCTCACTCTAGTGACAAAACAGAAAGGTTTGATTAATAGTCTCAAAAACTGATGAGTTTTCATAGCAGTAATATTCACTTAGAACTTCTGTGAACATGGGTAGGAAACGTATTTTTTAATTACTTGTGTTTGTCCCAGGGAATTGTAGGCGCTCCTTTTGAAACTAAAAATTGGTATTTACAATTTCATTATATCTGCAAGATAAAAATTATGCTTGAATATTATTAATACATCTTTTTATGTTGTTTATCCATGGAAAGGAAAGCAGCAAACCCATGAATGCTTTTTAATTCACAGCGTAAATCTGTATTAACTTTAGTCTGAGCAGCCTACAATAACACAGTATGGCAAAAATGTCTTTAGAGAAACCATTTTTTAATCAAAACCATGACTATTATTATTTCCTAAAGGAGCAATAAGGACATGGCACAGCAGCATGTTTCACACTGGTTGAAAAATGATCTTACATATAATGTAATGCCATATATAATGGATTTGGAATGACAAACAACATCAAGAACATTCACTGTTGGACAAAATATGTAACATATACACATCCATGCACACACAGAGACAAACACAGGCACAACTAATTTTGTGTTACTTTTAAATTAGTCTGCATGTCCAGAAGCTTTTCTGTTTCTTCCTCATCTAGCAATATCAGCTTTTGTTTGGATGAAACAGCTTCTTCTATTGCATCAATTTCTGCTTTCCTCTCAACTACTTCTTTGCAGAGCTCGTCATAATTTTCTTTCAACTGTTTAATTTTCTTATCGTCTTTCTTTAAAAATGAAGTAAAAGATCAGATTAATTTTACTTTCCTTTTTACATTTTGCATGTTTGAGATAATACAGAATCACTACCATTGAATGATGACCACATTTTTTGCATGAAGGTATGGAATATATTTTTCTTTACCAGATGTGTGTTTCTTCTGTCAATAACCAGCAGAATTTTATTAACAAAAACACATATATTCATCAGGATTTATGACTGCAAATGTATTTTTCATGCTCACATCCCAGAACCAAAAACCTGCAGCTATCTTTACATGCAGTGTCCATTTGCTGAACATAGTAAACATTTTCTTAGTAAACAAAAAAATCCAGATTTTTTCTGTATCATATTGCTTGCCCTGGAGTTATCAAAAGTGAATTATATTCTCTCCTAGAAAATCTACTTCTTTTAAAATCTATTTTTCTATATATTCCATATTTTAAATAAACTCTATAAACATTTTCACGGATGTTTTTATATGTTAGCTGACAGAACATAAAACATTGCTTTTCTCATGTTTTGTACTTACGTTCTGTTTCAGAATTTTTTCATATTCATCTTCCAGAAGCCTTTTTTCCTCTTGCAAACTACAGTAGAAATCAAAGCAGAGCTAAATATATTACTAATATAATACTCATTACAGCAATATAGTAAATGGCAAAAAAGTATGGAAGCCACTCCTGTGTTAGACTAAAACACAAGGTGAATTATCACCAGGGCCAATAGAAAGGTGTCCAGATTTAAAGGAAGGTTGCTGAGTGGTCAGCAGGGTCCTGAAAAACAGGTTGCACACATGGTGCAACCTACAGTGCACATATCTAAATTTTTTAACCTGATTTTTCTTATTTTGAGCACCTCCTGCAGGGATGCGTGTGTGCCTCACTCACCCTTGCCTTTCACTAGTGGAACCCTACACCCACAGTTTTTCCCAAACTCAGGAAACCAAATTTTAACGTGGAAATAAGGCAAAAGGAAAGAGGAGGTGGGCCATAAATAGTCACGAAGACAAGAAAGTCACAAGAAAGTACAATTGCTAGTGAGAAATTTTCTTCTTCCTATGAATGATTGCTCACAGACACATTCACTCTGCAAACAGCTTTAAGTGCAGCTCCTCAAATCTGAACAGGATCCTGTGAAAAAAGTGCCTGAAAATTGGCAGGGGTTATAGATTAAATCAAAGCAGCATGGGAGAAAACTAAATTGAATAACCATGGGAAACTTAACCTGTATCCAAAACTAAATCGCAATTTAATTTCAAGCAACAATAGAGACAGATGCCAAAGAGGTGAAGAAAGAGGAAAGGAAGAAATAGGAAAGCTCTTCGATCTTCTGGGTGTATTTTTAGTAATGCTGCCCTAAGAAAGATGAAGGAGTGACTACGAAAGGGGACCTCAACCAACAAGATTGTTGGATTTACATAGGGAGCTTCTTGGTGGCAAGTAGGTAAATATTGCCAAATACAAAAAATTTTCCCCATGGAAGGTGTGTCTAAACAACCCCAGTGCATGTAGGAACAATTCTGCACCTGTAGGAAGTAAATTGGCTACAGCAATCTGCATGCCATCACAACCAAACTGAACTTAACTGAGTGATTGTGCTATTGATTGGCAACAAAAGGCAGTTTGTTGAAGAGTAATTACTACATACAATGACATTTCTGAGTCTCAGACTTTAAATGAGAAAAGATTGCAGCTGAGGAATTGGAGGCACAACCAAATCCTCTGTCCCAGGTATAGCAAAGAATCAACTTCTGTGCTTAAATGTGTTTTCAACTCCAGTGGGAGGATATGCTGCTCAGGTTTCACTGAGAATCAGGGCAGTCAGTTAGAATAAATAACTCTTTAAATTAGAGGAGCATTAAGAGAAGGGGACAAGCTTCATTGGAATGCTTGTGTAACTTGGAGTTAGAAACTATGGCAAGGGAATCCTGGGGCAGCCCCACCTACCCAAAGCAACTATTACAGTTGCTTCTGAATGCTGCTGATACAGAAGAGAGACAGCTGATTGCTATTTCTTTTTTTGTTGTTTGTTTTTCTGAAACCTTTCAGTGGCAGTGTAAGATTTTGCATCGTGTTGGTGGTTCAGGTTTCAGAAGGTGTGTGGTTGTGGGAAGAGAGATTAATCTCCAAGCAGCCAACCTTGTGGAGGACCAACTCTATATCAGTGCTGATTTAAGGTTCTTCCCCCCTCTCTTCCCCCCCAGTTCCACCACCCACACCATCTCATTAAACTCTTCCTTTCTTTTCTGTCCTTCAACAAAAGGAGTGAAACTTACACCTGGAAGTGTCAGGCAACATATTTTCAGTTACTGAAAAAACAAAAGAGTGAAAAAAAAAGGGAACTGGGTTCGTGGTGTTGCAATTCAAACAAAACAAAATAATATGAATAAGGAGCTCTGGCTCAGATGAGGAGCAAAGAGAAGATAAATATACAGAGTAGATGTTGCTGATTTACAGAATATATCCATTTCTGCATGGGCAGAGTACAATGTGCCTCCACAGGGACTGGTAAGTCTAAAAACTAATTTGAATGCCAGTGTTTGAACACCCACTGAGTGAATGAGGTTGCAAACCAAAATATTTTTTTAAACAAAGTTCAGTTTCAATCATTCATGCCCCAAAATTGATAAAATAATTTTAAAAAGTTATATTCCAAAATCTTATTCCAAACACATTTTGGCAGCACTCCTATTTGAGCTGCTAGCTGGGACTAGCATAATCACACTAAGGATAATGAATGTCTTTGCACTAATACCTATAACTGTTTGACTGCCACAAAATATTATTAAATAAGTCCTGTGCAAAATGATTAAAGCAATTCTGCATTGCTTGTCGTCAGTCCGTGCTGTG